GTTACTGATGTGGAGGGAAGGGATACAGGAACACTGGCGTCTCGTTGTGCCTGCGTCATTGCGCTATGAGTTGATTAGATCTTTGCACTGTGACACACTTTTACACCTGGGGGTGCAGAAAACCCTATTGACGCTGCAACGAGACTATTATTGGCACGGCATGACGACGGATGTCGTCGGTCACGTTCGCGCGTGTCCCGATTGTGCCCGCCGTAAGCCGCCTAAACATCCATATGTTCCGCCGATACAATCGATTAAAGTATCTCGGGTTAATGAGTTGGTGGCGTTAGATATTTTGGGACCCTTTCCGCCATCAGCTAAAGGGAATAAGTATTTACTGGTGGGGGTGGAGTACCTCTCTCGCTGGCCGATGGCCTGGCCCTTGCCTGACCAGTCAGCGGCGTCTATCACGGACGCCTTTCTATTTGGGTATGTAATGGACAAAGGGGCTCCGGAGAGGCTCCTTACGGATCAGGGACGTAACTTTTCGTCTAAATTGTTGGGGGAGGTGTGTGCGGCTCTTGGAACTAAAAAGATACGGACGTCCCCCTACCACCCGCAAACGGATGGTATGGTGGAACGGTTGAATCGGACTCTGTCCGCCATGCTGTGCCATACAGTCGGGGAAAACCAATCTGATTGGGATTTGCATATCCCTGGGGTGCTTTCGGCGTATCGCATGACGCCGCACGCGGCTACTGGATACTCGCCGTTTTTCCTTATGTACGGCCGTGAGAACGTGCCGCCGATTCATGACCAGTTGGGAACCGGTGCGAGGGGGCCTGTTAAGCCTCTTCCTGAGTATATTAAGGACAACGTTCGGCGTGTCGCTGAGGCGAAGGAAAATGCCCGCATGGCTACTGCCAAGGCTCAGGCCAGGAATGAGCGGTGTGCCCGACGTTCAAAGGGGGAGTGTCCCTGGAAAAAGGGGGACCTGGCCTGGCTTCATTGCCCACAGGTGCGGCCAGGTACATCTCCTAAATTACATCGACCTTGGCAGGGTCCGGTCCGCCTCATTGAGGTTCCCAACCCACAGTCGGCGCGTGTTCAGGTTGGTGCACGGCGTTGGTTCGTGCACACGTCCCGGTTGAAGCCATACATTGCCCCACGGCCGGATGCGTCATCTCCCCAAGTTGCCTTGCCGGGGTCTGTTGCTGCCGACTCGCCCTTGCCTGTGTCTGCTGACCTTGCGAGAGCGCCTGTCGTACCCTTCACAGACAAGCCGGCCGTGACAGCGCAGGGAGGAGGACCTTCCGCTTGTGGGACGCCGACCGGAGCCGCAGAACCCACGGGACCTGCAGCTCTTCCTATCCCTCCGCGGACGCGAGTACGGGATGTTTCTGGACGCGAGCGGGACAGTGGCGGGCCTCCAATGGCGACGGAAGAACTTGCGCCCGTCGCCCCTAAAACCCTTCCACGTTCCCGCTCGGCGGGTGGGCCGCCGACCGTCCGGGACGGCCCGGCTACCCGTACTCGCTCGAAATCCCTCACGTTTCGTTAGATTGTGTTGTGTTGTGTTATTGTTATAATGTTCTTCAATGCTTCGTGTCTTTTTGCGTGTTGGCCCTTTACACCCGCATTGCTTTTCAGGTTGCAATTCAGCCGAGGTCGGCTGGATTTTCTTTAGGGGGGAGGGTGATGTAATGCGGTGGTAAACGGCCCTTCTGAGGCGCCGTCAGGGGGGGAGGAGTTAGGTCACGTGGGGGGCAGAGGGGTTGAGTATAGAAGGAGGGGAACCGGAAGAGCAAGGGGAGTGACGGGGAACCAGGAACAGAGGAAGGCCACGAAGGGCGAAGCGGGGTGTGGCGAGATCGCCACGAACACGGGGGGAGCGAGGATCGGCACCGTTGGCCAGCGGTGACCGACCCGAAGCAGCGAGGAGGCTGCAGTCAGCAGCGGGGCTGCACAGAGAGAGTGGGCAGCGGGTCTGCATACAGTGACAGCCAGAGGGTCTGCACATAGGGGTAGCAGCAAGTCTGCAGGGAGGAGGTTACAGTAGATGAAGCAGAGAGTCAGAGGGGTGAGGAAGCTATAATAGCAGTGAATAGCCGGGGGGCTACAAATACAGGAGTTATAACAGAGTGCCGTGTGGGTAAAGACGTGAACCTGAATAAAGACACGAAGACAGAAAGAAGTGTTCGAGTCCTTTTATTACACAATGATTGCTAAGCCAGAATCCATCTTCTCGGTTAAAATTGTCTCTGTGTTTGTATATGTGGATCGCCTCATGAACGAATCTCTCATGATAGCCAGATGGCTTGCAGAGAACCTCTGTCTTGGAGAAGTCAATATCATGTGAGCCCACTGAGTTGTAACAGTGATCTGCCACGGCTGAGGTGTTTGTCCTACCGTGTTTCAGGTCAGCTTTATGTTCACGGATGCGGTCCGAGACATGTCGTTTGGTTTCCCCAATGTAACTGCTACCACAGAGGCAACTTAGTTTGTAGACGCCAGGGTACTGTATGTCTGGAACCACATCTTTAACAGACGGTACCAGATCACGGATTTTATGTACTGTGTTGAATCGGACCTGGATCTTGTGTTTAATCAGGATTTTGGAGATCTTTTTCCATGAATATGCTAAATTCCTCTTCATATGCACATTCTTTTGTTAAGGCGCTCTTCTTCCACCTCCAACGCAGCTTATATATAAGCTGCTAGCTTGGCAGTGTCTCATTCTTCACCTGAAGACGGCTGCTTGCGTTGTAGCCGAAACGTCGTGAGAATTATTTTATTTTATTATGTTTTATTTTTATTATTTTATTACTTCCCTTCTACGTGACTTTACCGAAAGAACCAAGAAGATTCCACCCCTTTGTCAAACCACTGTTGGGTCTGAAGGCCTCCCCATACTACGTCTGTCATGGGGATTGTTTGACCATACTTCACCACGCTGGTCATTGCAGGTTGGTGAAGGTGAGTGGAGGGGCAGGGGTACAAAACCGGTTCAGTTATCACTCGCCACTGGTGTTAGCCGTGGCCAGGAATATAACTCAATCGTAGTGCAGTGATAACCACCTGGCCACCGCTGCACCCTTGCGCAGGTGTGAGCTGGGTAAAAACAATATATCTGTGCGCCGAGATCATCTCATTGTCTATGATTTTCATGATGGTTGCCCATTGCATTTTGTTCTCTGACCTGCAGTTTTATGTCCCCGACTTGTCTTCTTAATGCTTAGAGTGCACTCGCGTTCGTACAGTATTCTCCTTCTTAAAGATTAGATGCCCTGCTCCTCCTTGCCATGGTTGTCCAATATACATTTTTGGGGGGGGATCGAATTTTGTTTCCGGAGGAGCCATATCCTCCACGCTGCCGTGCAGGTAGGATTTGATGCCCCGAATCGGCCGTTTAAACAATGGGGCAAGATTCTCAACTCTCCGCACTCCGCCTCTGTCCACGTGGCAGCATTAATTGCTACAGTCACGCCGCAGGGACGTGCGGTCAGGGGAGGCAGGGGAGGCCACAGCCTCACCTGGCATACACCAGTGAAAATAGCTGTGACGAAAAGTAAAAAAATATATATATAAAATTAAAATAAAGATTTTTTTTTCCCACTGATCTGTGTTATAAATGTCATTTCTGTATGATTCCAGTCATCGCAGAGAGATAGTAACAGGCACGCGCGTGTTGCCCGCGTTCCATCCAGTGTCTGAGGGGTTGCGTAATCAGAGGGGAGGCTGAGCTCGTCGCTGCCTCCTCGCCTCTCGTCTCTCCCTGCATTCGCAGCGGAGTTCCGCAAATTTGGCGATTTTGACTACAAAAACGATTGGAATCATACAGAAACGACACGTTCCTGAGCCACAGTTATTCGACCGACAGGCCGCGTGTGGTGGGGTAAAGTGTGAGTGCTCCCACAGCTTCCAGGACGTCTGGCCAGCGTGGAAGAGTAGAACAACGTACCCACGATAGGGGCTTAAATCCTCTAAAGTAGTGGTTCTTGATCTGAGGGTGCAGGCACCCTGTGGGGTGTGAGATGCCCTTTCTTGGAGATGTGTTTTAGAAGGTAAATAATCGAAACACAAATGAAGCAAGGGCACGTAAGTACAACCTATTTGTTTCATCAAACCTAAGTATTTATTCACACCACACATGTTTTTTTACGACTGAGAACCAAAGGAGCGGTAAGGCTCGAGTAAAGCTTAAGAACCACTGCTCTAAAGGCTCCGACCGAGTCTGCACAGCCAATATCATCTGTGCCGGACAATCCTCTACATCTTATTACGGAAGACTGTTGGAGCCCCCAACATTCTCCAGATCCCATCCCGCAGGACTTTGTGATATCCGGAGGTTCCCAACTTCATTTGACGCAGGCATTCATTGAAGGACGACCGATGAGGCTTTCTGTGGGTAGCAATTGCGCCTACATATGTCTTAAGATCGCTGTTTTACTGGGGCTAAAGACATTGCACAACGTTAGATTGTTGAAGCTATGTAATTAACTCGCTGAGCTTAATTTATTTCTAACTCCTGGGAAACGGTATCGATAACCGGATCAATGGCATAAATAACAAGGTTAACCGGTCGGGAGCCAGCCCTCTTTGCTGCACCCAGACATTTATCAGCCTTCCATCATTAGTACAGCCATGTAAGGCTTCAACAAGATTTAGCACAATTTGGTGTCCGCGCAATTCCTATAACGCAGGGATATCCATGAAGATGCTACGGTTCACACGCGGGTAAAGTCTGCGAGTGGGAAGCAACGTCGCTCCCAGTAATCCCAATTGAGTCATTGACGGCGTAATGTATTAGGTTTGGCAACATTGGACCGTCTTCTCCCTGATGGCGAAAGAAAATGGTCCAAGCGTGCCGATGACGCGGGCACACACAAGGGCCTACTCGTCTTGAATGATGTCCAGGGATGTGTGACGTGCAGTCTTAACCAGCGCGCTAACCACTGCACCGCCGCTCCGCACACACCCGCACAATTGGCGTAAGATTTTACATACACCTTCCGCCATGCATGTTGAACAGTGTACAACATGTACGCAACCACATACAATAGTGCCTTCGAGTGACTTTATTAAATTTATCACAATCCACTGATATTGACATTTGGCTGCTTAACTTAACAGCTACAGCAAACATTATGAACGACACTTATGCGACATGAACAAGTGCATTTGTCAACATTAGAATCAAACTGTTTATCAAGTGTAAGGATTTTATATCCCTACTCAATTTTCAATAAATATGGTCCAGTTTCTGTTATAATCCACATATTCTGATGGAATAGGAATGTAACATATATGTTACAGCACTTATTACCAAAAAAATAAACTTTTTTTCACCCAACAATAAATTATGTCTTCACAAAATATCACAGTACCGTACTTTTTTAAAACGTAATTACAAATGGAAAACCCAAAAATGATAAATCTATTTTTTGTAAATTAATTGAGAATGTACAGTTTTACAGATTCGTCTTAAGCCTATTAACATACCAAAATGTATTTTGTTTTTCATCTTATAAGCAAGGAAAATGGGGTCTATGCATAAACTTGTGCTTCAAGGCTGATGCAGAATAAACAAAGCACATTCACTTTTACTTCAAACAAATCAGGCATGCTACAGGTATTGCTTAAGCAGAATCAAAATAAGGGTTCAATAACCCTGCATTATATATACAGATAACCAAAAAAGTTAAATATGGATTCTGAAAATGTGTCCTGTTTCTATTAACGGCCATTATAATTCACATATAAATCCAAAGAGGAGAGGTATTCTGGTAAACTATTTCATTTTGTTGCTTGCAGCAATTGTTTTTACACCTATATTCATATTTTTGTTGGTTATTACCAACATGTCTTCATACAAATACCAAAATGCCTGAGGAAGTTTTTTTTTAAGTACTTTTAAGTAATTTTTTTAAACTCCTCCTGGATGTGAATCTGATGCTATGGGTGCATTGTACAACTTGTCCTTGCAAAACACATATACTGTACATGCAAGGATATTACAACTGTTCTACGTTTGTCATCAACTACATATATGGAATACTCTGTTTAATCGTGTGGTTTAGGTGTCAGGGCGGGTAGTGGTGAGAGGAAGGGGGCAGGGGGGGTACAGGAGAGGGGGGCTGGAGAGTAAGTGGGGGCGGTGTGGTGGGAGACAGTTCAAAATCTGGGGGGGTGGGGTAGGAGAGGGGGGGGGGCGCACACATTGAAAAAGCAAACTACGAAACGGGTCAAGGCACAGGACAAGCACCACACAGAGCACTTTGACAAAGTGTGCTATAGATAAAAAGCGGTAGCAAGCAGCAAGATAGGTCTGGGGAGGGGAGGGGATTAGTAAAATCATCGAGCAAAAACGGGAGTCATACCGAAGGAGCCGTTCAGGCATCGTGGGAAAATAAAGTGCTTAACACATCCTACCTTAGTGCCAATGTCATTCTTTCCAAAAACTACTTACAATTGTTTTATAAACAACATACTGTACTTCAATGTAGATATCATTGCTCTGGTTCCAATACATCAGAAATATAAATAATATAGTAAGAGGCTCCCGAATATAACCCTCAGTTGTGGATGACTTCATGGCATAATACAGAATAATACGGAATTAGCGGGCCCAGTTTCGTGGCTGTACGCGTGGGTCCTTCGCGGAGAAGTGGGGTAGCGAAAATTCTGAACGAACGGATCGATCGTCGGGATCGGTTATTGGCTCGTGTGCTTAACTCACATTAAACGTACTAATTACTCGCATTTTCTCGCCTTTGGTCCACGACGGCCCAAACGATTCAGTTACAACACGTCCGGAATGCACCGACGATGCAGACGCCATGCCGGCTTCTTAGATCCAGCCACAGCCAAATGTTCCCTCAACCGAACCAACGTCACTGTGAACTTGCAATCACTTCCTATACGCGAGCTCGAGAGAAAAACACTTCACAGAAAATATTACCCTTCCGTGACATCGGCAGCGGTGGCTGCCACTCAATAAAATGTCATTTGAAACATTACAAATATAAAATGTTGAATTATATTTTCAAAAAAAAAATTTGCTGGGGATTTTCGGTCATTTTGAAATTTGATTTGCAACATTACCATACATAGAAAACACGTGAATATTTTCAAATTAAGCAAGTGGCATGTCTTATCTGATTCCACAGATAACGAGATTTGTTTAATGGTGCACAAACCGTTTGGAAACATAGACAATAGAGTGAGTTACGTTTTAAACAATGTAATGTGTAAAAATATCTAATTTTTCATTGATTCAAACGTGTTAAAAATTAACATAAGATGTAAAAGTAACACGTACTATATTGTCCATATTTCCACAATTCTCTCTTGCAGATAACAGATCGATCGAAGCGGGCAGGAAAGACCGTGCCATTCTGCTCGTGAAGCCAAACAGGATGCTGTACGTGAACAGCGGGTACAAGGAGAGAAACCCCGACTACAAAATAAGATCCTGGTATGAAACAGGATTATCGTAACACAGATGACTAAAGCATATAAGCGCCATGCTGTTATATGTTTGTCAAAGTAGTGCGATACACTCATTTGTAATCAATATATTCAGTTATTTTCACAATTTTACAGGAACAAAATTCACATTTAAGTGCCATCACCTTACATTTTTACATTATCCACAAATGTAGCTTTCAGAAATGTCAATTGCTAAGCAATATTACAAATAGCAATGTAAAATACTCCCATTCTAAAAAATAGCATTCTATTAAACTTAAATAACAAGTACAACGTCACCCTTTAAATTCACCATTGCAGAGCTAACAAAATACTAGATAACTTTAAAAATTATGTAATGCAGCAAAAATGGCTGGAATGATTATCTTTTAATAAAATTCACTGTTAGATAGGTACCTTGCTTCACAAATATTTGTGATACATCATCATCATCATTATTGTGCATCAGTACATATCGCGATCTCACCTTTAAGTACGTCATTTAAAACCCACGAGAACTCATATATTTCTGCATTTTTTTCAGTGTGTTTATAATACGTGAATGTTTTTTTTTATAATTGAACACACTAGCTGCCAATGTGCAAGCAATATAAAAGCCATTAAATGATGACATTTTAAAAGCCAGCAGCAGGGCCATCCAATACCTAGGATTTTATAAACAGGTCTTACATCATACAGTGAATCAAAGTGCTGTAAAAAGTCACACATTTTAGGAACTTTTTTTTCGAAGGAAAAGAATGAGAACACTTTCAGACATTAATGCAGAAATGGGCCTTCTTTCTTCATTCTATCGGCATTAAACTTGGATACCTTTCACGGCCTGCTTGATGCTATCCAAGAGGTTTTTGTTTTCCGGGTTATGGTAGTGCTCCTGGTTGCTGTATACGTCTGTCAGCTTTGACACGTAGGTGTCAAAATTCTGTTCATTGATCGGATCCTGTGGGTACAACAAAACACAAAAGTATTTCCACAAACGTCGAAACAATGAGTAGAGCACGTTCTTTCACAACTCTGTTGATCCTCTTTGTGGGATACGGGAGTGCAGGTTACCAGCAGCACAGACACTTCAACATTGACCGCAAACCCGGCGTGAGCTCCTCATTGATATGAACATAACGATTCAAAGTGAGTTAACTTGGACTACTTTAGCTGTTATAAGGGCACGGTTCGCTCCGCTAATCTTTCTCCAGCAAGAAGTTGAGACGCATACATTGCTCTGCCTCGCTGCTTCGCTTCACTGGCAGCTCATCTCCGTCTGATACAGTGGCATGCTCGTGCAAGCGCCTTGCACACAAGGACCCGTAACATTTAAAGTCCCACATGTTGCTTGTTAGCATGTCGTATATCTCTGGTGCACGGGGGTAAGGTTTGCACTTTAGTGACTGATTAAAAGGCCCTTCATCGTAGCATTAGATGTGTTATGAAGAAAGGCCATGGTCCTAAACCTATTATATATATTCTCTATTAAGACCACAGTCTTATTGACGAATGAGTTGTTTTGCTTGTTGTCGCTTGTGCACCACTGCTAACATAACATCAACAACAATTTGGATTCTATTATGAACGGTTCCTTTTATAATAGACATTTCAAAAATATGCTGTAGCCACCAACTTGGATTTAGATCCTTAAATGACACGAACATAAAGGCTTATTATAGTTTCCAGAATGGATACGTGAGGAATAGAACCAAAGGCTAAAAACAGCCTCCGTTACATTTTGCTGGCAACATGGAATTGTAATCTGGCGATAATTATCACAGTGAATATGTGTTAATCATTGGATAGTTAATACCTTTTAATAAGCATAAAGGTTTTCTAGATATCAATAAACACATTTTTAAAATATATATTACTTGAGAATACACAGCATCTCGTCACTCAAAGGCTCGATGACGGCCTCTCCGTGCCATGCCGAGCTTTGGGATTGCTTCTTGGCCATACTTCCCCACGCTGGTCAGTGAGCATTGGTCAAATGAGGGGGGAGGATCAGAACTAGTTCAGATATCACTCACCACTGATGTTAGCCATGCCAGGAATCTAGCTCAGGTCTCCGGGTAACCACTGCCCACCCTCCCCCCTCCCACCCATAATGGATCGTGACGCTGTCATTTAACTGGGCAATGTTTCCGGCCAATATTCCGGTTCCTATCCTCACCATGCTGGGAAGACGCACCCCAGACAGACTGCTGATCAGAGTCTGACTCAGGCTGGACAGCTCGCTCAGAAGGGTCTCGCTCTGCCCCTCCATCCGACTGTTTTTCTCTTGCGATGATTTCAGATTGTCCTCGAGACTGGTGATCTGAAAATTAATTTGTCAAACAAAAGAACTGAGAAGGTGTGCAAATGATGACGATTTGCACGTGTTCAGCGCTCACGTGCCGTGTGGCGTATCAAAGCACCTCTCAGCACAATATTTCCTCATTTGTAATGTTACACCTCGTCGTACCTTTTTATAACTCGAAAACGTGAGCCAGGGTTTAACTTTATGGTCCTACATCCTGAAACTGAATATTTTCCAATAAGAAAATTTTCTTAAAGGATGCATTATTTGCCTGAGGGGGCAATATGAAACTTATATTTATTATTTTGAGATCTCTACGGGTGATGGTTGATGCTTTTATGACCTTTAACCTCTACGCTTCTTCTGATTGGTTCATGCTGGGACACGAAGACCAGAAATGCGGCACAGCGAGAACTCGGGCCGATGGTCACCCCCTTCGTTCATTTCACAAATCAAACAACCACGCAGTCAGCCAGAAGCCTCCGACTCCTCTTAACCCAGTACGTATGTATGTTGAACTTCTTTCACACCGTACGTAGCCAACCGCGCTAATCAGAGGTGCGGGGGAAGGGCAACAAACTAAACACAAAAAGCAGTTCTAAAGAAATTAGTTTTAAATCTAGATGATTTAAAATTGCATAGCTCCAATGACTTCCTTATATCGGAAGCGCGTTCCAGACGGCCGCAGAAGCGTATCTGAAATGTCCGCACGATGCGGTGACCATCTTTGTTCGATGGTTAGCCAAACGCCACTGCGAGGATGACCAGAGTTCGCGTGATGACGGTTAATGCACCTTGACGAGATTAGCAATGTATTGTGGTTCATTTGGGGCGAGCACTCTGTGTGCGATGAGTGTGACTCATTGCACACGCCATCAGGGTCCGTGGCCTTGCCCCTCACCTGCGTCCGTAGTTTGATCATCTCCACTTCCACATGCGAGTTGGATTCTCCCAGATCTTTGATTTCCTCGTAAAGGTGCTTGACCTCCTCGTCGTTCTCTATGCCTGCGAGAGACAAAAGAAAAAAGCCACCCAACTTGAAATGTCACGGATTCCAACGGTGGGTAGATTATGCCATGGATTGCATTGTGAAATAATACACACTCAGGTTAATGGCATTTAAGCAGGGCAATTTCACGGTAATTATAATTAACCGTGAATCTCAATGTATCGCATTAACAACATTTTACACCATTTCAGATATACTGATAGTCATCATAACAACCAATTAAATTATTTACAGGAATGACTTGATTTAAATAAAGCTGAAAAGTTGGAGTCAAGCTAAATATGACCAAAACAAAAGTAATGAACCACGACATTACTAAACTAAATAAAACGATTCTTGGAAGGACGCAGTAGGAAAACTTAGAAAAAATATGTAGAGCGAATGTAACGACCGGTGCATATTTACAGCCATGAAATGGCTCAGAAACATGACCAGTGAAACATAAAATCGAGCACAATCTGACAATTAAGCAACAACAAAAACACGCACGGAAAAGTGCACGCTTTGAATTACACTGAATGACACAAAAAGACACTCAATGGCTTAGACATCGACCATTATTAATGAGAGTGGGCCTGGGCAGGACGTATTTACTCGTGTTACTCGTGGAGATGATGGCTGGCTGATAAAGAGAAGATGGCGATGGGATGGCAGCCAGAGGGGGACATGCTCCTGAGAGGACATTCACCACGGAGATGAGGCAATGCAATCAGAAGCGAGATGGATTGTTACATCGCGAGGTCGCGGGAGATGGCAATGGCTTGGGGAGGCCTTCGTCCAGGGGTGATGATGAATACCATCTAGAATGCTTAATATCATCTCCTGGTCGCGCAACAATCATGTTGCTGAGTATGCTGGAGCCGATGGAAATATTTAGAAGTGTACTTATATTCTATATTGGTATACATTAGCTTCTTGATTTATTACAAAATGACAGGAAGCCACCTAGAAGACAATCAAGTCAACCGTGACGTCATTGCAACGTAGTTATGTTCTCTCCCATTGCACAATACAAAGTAGAGAGTATCTGAACATCGGTCACGGCAACTCGTATTCAACGCAACTACCGAATATTGACAAGACACAGAGGGGCCGCACATCACCGTGGCGTTTCGTGGAAGCTGCAACAAGTAAAGAGTGATTAGGTCGGGGCAACATACGGCACGAATCTCTTTTCGTGGTTTCTCATTCAAATAAAGTCAGACTGTTCGAGGCTTTGTCCAGTTTAACACCGTGACATTTACAATTTGCGCTGTGTTATTACGCATTCCGTATAACTTGTCTATGTTAAACAGGCAACACAGAAACATAATCGTATAAACTAGAGCAGGAAACACGAGGAGGTATTGCATGAAGATGAGTTTCACGTACATTTTTATATTTTACGTCAAATCGCGAATAAGGTGCCTTAAGTCTAGCAAGTGCACTCATGTTCGCAAATGCTGCACACGAATAGAACACACTACAACCACGCATCATAATGCAATCACTTTTAGTTTATTAAATATAAAGTCACTCCCACTGTGCTGGATACTCATTTCTGTAGAACTGCTCTTGGTGCTTAGTTTGTTGTCCTTCCCCCGCACCTCCGATTTGCACGGTTGGCTACGTACGGTGTGAAAGAAGTTCAACATACATAGATATACACGTGCCCTACATAGCGTTGATCTAATTGTGCACTATGTACAGATGTCTGACTGCTCAAAGAACATCAACTGTATATACGAAAAGCAGTTGATATGCATGGCGTAGATGTCATGGTGCAGGATATTCCAACTCCCCCTATGGGTGATGTGTACTCTATGTCATAACTAGGGTGCCAGGCGGAGCATTCAGTCCCTGCTTTAGTGATGGTTCCGCACGCAGACTCATTTCACTTTGGAAACTATTCTTTGTTACTCATGGATATTCGGATAAAAATTCCAACATGAAACGTAAAAATAATCAAAAATTGCAAGATTCCAGTCAGAATTTACCAGTACAGATTTTCTCGATGTGTACAATTTCCTGAACTTGCCAGCCAGCTTCTTCTGACAAGCGCAAGCAACAGCAGATAAAGACAGCAGCCAGAGCTTTAAAGGATGTGGTAGCAAAACGCACAACGACAACCACCCAGTGCTTCATGTTGAATTTTGGGTACCCTGAAGTTAATCTGCTCATCTGTCGATAGCAGGACTCTCCCCGAGTTGGAAAGTTAGAGTGTGTGTGAAACAAATATGAGATATACAATGGAAACTGCGCATATTCTCATTCTCACAGTTATTTATTCAACGTTAGATTTAGGCCCTCTGTAATGGCAACGTTCAATATTGGCCTTAATTGGAGTGGTCACTGGGTGACACTGGAGGCAAATGCCAATATCTGGATAATGAGTCTGCACTATTTAGTTAATGGGTCTCACTTGTGACATTTACCAACGAAAATAATATTTCATTCTATCAGTTCAGTCACCAATGGAAATTGCAATAAAAATATATAAATATTATTTGGCCTTAAAGAAATTCCCAATGTGAAGTCTTAATTGCTTGAACCTCCATTTGACTATCAATGTGAGTACTGTGTAGAGACTCGTGCATGGCAAGCACATGAGAAAATACATTCACAGCAAGAATTAATATTCTTAGTTCTTTCGGTAAAGTCACGTAGAAGCGAAATTATAAAATCATAAAAATAAAATTCTCACGACGTTTCGATTGCAACACAAGCAATCATCAGGTGTGAAAACCACAGCAAGAAAATTATGAGAATTTAATTGTTTTATTTTTATTATTGTATTATTTCCCTTCTACGTGACTTCACCGAAAGAACCAAGAATATGAATCCCTGCAGTCACGAAAGCTTTAAAGCAAGAATTAAGTTAAGAGGAAGCATTAAAGGAAGATGAGAGGGATAACAAAGATCCATGATTTTGAAATTGCAATGGCTTGCTTGTGACTGTGCACACATTTGCACGGTAGATAAATGGCGCATTTGTGTTCAGCGCATCCACTTCTCTATAGTTCACGAGGTTCCTCTTCGTGGTGCCTCTTCTGACCTCTTGCTGATCCAACAGTAACCGGTCTTCTCCTTCTGCTCCTCTATTGCTCATCTCTGTAGACGTCTACACTCCTTGTGACTTGTTAGGAGTCTGTGGACCTTTGGTTAAGAGTCACAGGTGTAACGATTACAGGTAACGCCTCTCATCTGCAACCTCATCCCACCACTAAACCATGCATAACAGCAGTTATCTTGTAATAAATCATTAGGCTTCCTACATCATCACCAGCAGCCATGATCTATCCACTGCTTGATGAAGGCTTCTCCATATCTTTACCAACCTTCGTGGGCCTGCAATGCCACAATCCATCTCGTTACTGTGCACGAGCTGATTTGATCGCTCCATCTCCGCGATAGAGTCATCCTCTTGAGCGTTTTCTCTCCGTCGGCTGCCATAGGCTCCCTGCCTGTCTTGTGTGAAATGATTGACATCATGTCTTTCTTTCCGATCCCATGATGAGGAGCAATGTTGCACACAGGTGTCAACACTAAAGGGATGGAATCTTGAGCTAACCTTGCCTTGGATATGAACTCATTATCTTACAACCGTGAGCTCAGCGCCGCACCGAGTGAGCTTTCCCCAACATCCATAATGGGGAAGAATAATGGGCTGCACCAGCAAAAGAGCGGGTCAAAGATCGAGACAACTGGAAGACTAATTCCCCAGGCCATGCTTGCAAATGATAGTCATCCTGGTCTCTTGAGATCTGACCTGGTTAAACACTAAATAAACTTGCATGTAAGGGAATATGATAGCCAACTGAAAATTCTTTCAAATATATTATAGAATTTATAGGACAAATATGCTATAGGCTGATTTTAAATCTCTTGATATTTTCAATGCAAATTTGTTTCTTGGACAATGTAAACACTTTTTGGTCTACCCCGACATTATATACAATTGTAAGATAATTTTTGTAACATTCACTTGAGGATTTAAAATAAAATAAAATAAAAACTTAATTTTTGAGTACTTGATGTTCGATGGAAATATCTCCACTTATTTAAAGTTGGATAAATTGTTAAATAAAACTTAAAGAGAATGCCACGATAGTTTCAGACTATGCGCGACAGATGAAACACAGGCAATCATACGCTCCCTCCTATTACTGTATTGTCCTAAAAGCTCACGTTTAAATGTTTTAAGTAGTAAAGTTTTTCATCAAAAGCCTCACTCACAAATCATTACAATTTGATTCAACTGTTGAAAAGTGCATCTGTCCAATGTATTAGGTAAATCATGATTACTTATTATTGGTTCTATCGGTAAAGTCACGTAAAAAAATAATAATAAAATAATAAAAATCAAACTATAAAAAGACGTTTCGATTGCAACACAAGCAATCACCATCAGGTGTGAAAACCACAGCAAGAAAATTTGAAAAAAAGTGGCGTTTTTTTCTTAACGTTAGTACCACGGACAGCAACTAGCGGTTGGTCAGATGTACGAGTCCATCTATGCTCGGAAAGGAGGAGGGGGGAGAGAAAGAGAATGGAATGCGGTCTGAAAGTCATCGTAAGCGTGAACACAATCAATTAAGACCCGAAATGGTTTATCACATCCTTCCAACGATTGCTAAGCCAGAATCCATCTTTTCGGTTGAAATTGTCTCTGTGTTTGTATGTGGATAGCCTCATGAACTTACCACATCACAAGGTCTAATACAGACTTTTATGAGAGATATTTTTCTGCTTGATGCTCAAGTCTATAAGAATACAACTGTATCTATACTGGTACCCAGAAGCGTGGTTAAATGGGCCCAATGCAGTGCAATTGCGCAGCACTGGTACAACATTATCATAATGTACCAAAAATAAAAAATAAGCGCATACATAATTGCAATGAATCACGTTGAAGTAATTTTATAATTCTATAAATCGTGTTTTTTACAATTAAAAATAATGAAATGCATCGCCAGCCAGACTTTGAACACAAATCCATCAGATCTCAAGGGAGGGCCCATATACTGATCTATACAGAAACATCTGGCTACTTGGCATTAACTCACATATCCCATTATTACTTCAGTAAACATAGGTCATATAAAGTCTCGTAGTTAAAGAGAATTTAAATTATTTTATGGAGGTACTTAACGCATAAATGACCTCTGTATACATTCTGTAAGTGATATGATTCACTCGGAATACAAATTGAGGTTCTAGATTTGAAGCTTTCGTGACTGCAAGGATTCATATTCTTAGGTTTTTTCGGTAAAGTCACGTAGGTAAAACATCAAAATTAATAAAAATAAAATAAAATAAAGATCACGACGTTTCATCAAGATGCAGCTAATCTGGCTGTGACGGTCCCACCTGATGACGGAGACTTGTGTTGCCTCCGAAACGTCGTGATCTTTATTTTATTTTATTTTTATTAATTTTGATGTTTTACCGACGTGACTTTACCGAAAAAACCTAAGAATACAAATTGAGGTTGCATTGGATTGGTCATGATTGACTTCAGACAAAGTCTCAACTGTGCACCGCCATTATTATTAACGTGATTATTGTGCAAGAATAATGACTAAAATATAGAACGTATTAAACAATCCCACTTATGTATAGTAAGAATATATCGTTTTAAAATCACACGTAATAGGTGGCTACTTTAAATTTATATTTTTGAGTGACTAAGTACTAAACATTTACAACTTATTAAATTACTCCATTTTCAGTCACAGAATTGGTTACTGGATGACATAAATATATTTTTACAAGTTAACCCACCCTATGGGTTTCGTACAGGATCAGTAAAAAGGTTATCATATGATTACCTAATGAATACATCAACCTGTAAGCAAGTAAATATTTATACAGGGAGGTAATAATTAAAATAAAATGTTTCCACGTAGAATCACCTAATCGAGGTTGACGCAATAGGTAACCATCATAAATTTTTACACACAAACAAGGAAAGTTGTACTGAGCGTCATGTTTTTCAGGTCACACAAAAGTTAGGTTGACTAAATAAATCTACAGTTCTCGAGGTTTATGTATTTATATTGCTGTGCCGTGATACAAGATGCTACTGGATCCCCATGGTTACATAGTATATTGTGGATATTCGAGACATTAATGCGGAATCATACAAATTTTAGAAATCAAATCAGGGGATGGAAAATTTACCAGCATGGGAATCGGGCTCCGGATTTGAATTTGATTCTAAAACGGTCAAATGTGACAGACCAGGAACAACATTCAGTTGTAATTAATTCCTAATTACAGTACTGTGTTGAGTAGTGCATTAAATAATGACTTACTTTACGAGCGACTTAAGCATGCGTTTAATACTTATGCAATAAAAATAAACTACTTGAAAGATAATTGTTTTTTGGGATTAAAAAATGTACATCTGTCTCCCATTGCCACTACCAAGCCGTCGGTGAGGCATGCACGCTTGGCAGTTGAATAATTGATGTTCGACACCTGGCTGAGCATGCATTTTGATAATGTGAAATCAACGCAAATACAGTGAACAAAAGTAATTATGTATATCTTCAGGGTTTAAAGCATTTTTTATCACCAAATTTCACGTTCGGGCCTACCGTTGCGTATGCTGTAGACGCATTGCGACGTCAAGCTGACACATCTGCTTATCAATCAATGAAATATTTATTTAATGGCACCCTTCTTAAACCAAGGCGCTGCACATAAACTATCAATACAACTTTAAAGCCATGCAAACAGAATAATAACATTCAGGTTAACCTAAAAACCATAAATTTGGCGACGCTACATAAATCTTCGTGTGTATACGCCAGGCTGAACAGGTAACTTTTAAGATTTTTTTTTTTGAAGCGGTGGACGGTCAAAGATAGATTTCCTCCAACCCAGCATGCACCCTCCTGCCACTGGGCTTCGTGGCAGTCAACTCACCATTTGAGGCTCGCAGTTTGATCGTCATCATCTCTTCCCCTGAGAGCTTGGCCTTCTTCATGGCGAAGGTCGCTCTGGGACAACCTGACAGGCTGCCAAGCCCAACCCAGACACACAACATGTGTTCATATTTTCAGGTGCTAGCTTTGGTATAAAGCCATCGAAGCACTAAAGTCAACCAAAGTTATCATTTTTCTTTCCTCTCTGAAAGTGAACTCAAAAAGGCTTGAAAAATTGATTTACAAAAAGTTTATGTGAATTTTACAATACAGGTGACTCTGCGCTAAAATCATTTTAAATGCTTTCATCTCTTGCGGAAATGTACACGTTTGTACCTTGCCTCACGTGTTTTACTTTTTTCCGTTATTTTTTAAATCGTTTTTTGACAACCTAAAATGTTCAACAAAAATTTTTAGAGGGATAGAACAACTGACATTTTTGCCAATGAAGCTGCAAAGTGTGCATGGCGCGAGTGCCGTTAAGACTGCCATGGGCGTTTGAACGCAATCCTCCACCCCGCACACAGCTCTGGCTAGAATTAAGCTCTTCTATTCGGAAAAAAAAAATGTTCAACAGCACTAAATTCAGTGCATTCATATTTTTACAAGACAGTTATTAAGTCCACCAGCCATCACCTCTTCTAGCAACATGTCAAGCTCACTTACCTTCCTCAAAAAGTCAACATGTATGTCTCTGATTTGTGTTTGATCTCTTATTTCTGTCTCAGTGAAATCCCAAGCATGCACCTCTCCATGCTTCTTCGCACACTTTTGAACGCTTGTTCCATTTTCTCTGTCAGTGTTTCTTTATTTTAAAAGAACGTATCATGTGCATGTAACCGCTAATGTGTACCATCAATCTACAATTCTCTCATCTCTTTCATTTCACTAATCTGCATTTATTTATGCCTCAGTAAGCAATTTCTCTCCGTGGGCCATACAGGTCAGCGCTCAGTAGGCCTCTGTAAGAGCCCCTTGTAGGCCAGACGTGACCCACAGGCCACCGTGCAGTGGAACAGGAGAGACTGGCATGCAACGCGGTTAAAGTGAAGGTGATTCTGAGAAGCATAAATCCAAGCACCTTCCAGTGATTGTAGTCATGCGCAAATGAGATGTTTTAACAATATTTCGAGATTAAAATGTGGCCGCCTTAATTAGCATTAATTTAATAGAAAAAGGGGTGCTCTTTTTTGCATGTAGTAATATTATTCTTTAAAAACAAATCACAGCGGTGAGTGGATAAACCAGGGCTGTCCCAACTACTCCCTGGGGATACATTTATATGGCTCGTGGCATCACTAACTTTTCACCAACCGTAAGCACTTGCTCTATATCAAATGTTCGCTGTATATTCTCAAATATCTCCTCTTGCCACATTGTTTTACATCTCTCGCATATCTCACACTCATATTTAGATAACACCACCCTCAGATTGCTCTTGTGAATACATCTCCCATCCATCTCGTATCTCTCTGCTGAATACAGCACATCTACCTCTGAGATCTCAGCATTGATATTTTGTTGTGCTGTATTAAAATACATTGCAGACTTGAGCACTGCATTATTACACAGGGATCCAAACCTCTTACAGTAGCTAACAGTTGTCATGCATTAAATATAGTCGAATCTATGCTGATATCCAGAATGATCTGGAAATCATAATTTTCGAATTTGGGCCTCAAAAAATGGCCTGGATGTTGATTGGTATCCCATATGTGGCAGCGTCAAGGGTCAGGCCTAGAGTTCTACGTTGCTTGTCTCTGGCTCTGCAATTAAAACTATACAATAGCCATTGATGAACTAAGTAATATGCTTCGTGTGGAGTTTGATGTGAAGACCAATAGGAAAAAGCCAAAGAAAAATGCCAGTTACTAGTTTAATATATGCTGCGAATTTGAACATATTTGTTGGGGGGAAAACCCCACTCCTGTTACTTAATACAACATAGCAACTGCAGTATATTGCGCTCAATGTAGAACAAAAAAAGCAGGAAAACTCTGCTAAACGTTGTCTGCAATTGCCAAGTTTGGCATTATAAGTCTTCTCACTAACATTTCTGCAAATTAGAATACAGTGCCACACTGCACCAGCGGGGTGACACAATGAGGAGGTACAGTCTGACTTTGTAGAAATGAGAAACCAGGGAGAAGGAGAAAACAGATTCGTGCATAGAGCACCATACATGACAAACACCACGAGCAACGCCACACACTTTCCCATGTCCACCGAACGTATCAAAATGTACTTTGTTATTCTTTGAATGCATGGATTTCAAAATGGACTTCTCATACCTGTCAACCCCTTATCAGTGCCTCCCTTATTACAGGCCAATTCAGACCTTATTGGTCACCCCGTGCCCTTATAAATATCAACAGTCATCCTACATAAGAGAAAAACTAAATCAAATAGACAAACATTTTTGTTCACTCAATTTCCCTGTACAAGAATACGGCTAACCCGATTGGGTTGACAGGAATGAGTTCTGTATAGTCTGACTGAGACTGTGCAAGAAGGAACACTGCTAAACTCAAATAACCCTTCGCTTGAAATAAGCGTTGTCTTCCGGGTACTGTGCTGTTGATTTATATTAAAAGGAGATGCAGGTCCTGTACGTTTACACCAATAAAGTAACACGACTTTAATTGACAGGGGATCTACATTTATTCTCATTATCAGTGCTTCCCAACCTAAAAACATATTTGTATGGTGGGTCTTTAAATCAAATATTATCAAAACTAAATTATTATTTTATTTTACCAGGTAAGGCCCACTGAGCTATAGAGCTCTTTTTCAGAAGCGACTTGGCCACAATTTGATAGCTCAACCAAGTGGCTTATCACGGAAATGTATAGCAGCCAAATAATCTAAGCGCATTTTTCTAAATGTGGAGGGAAAAACCGGAGGACCCGGAGAAAAATCCACGCGACCACGGGGAGAACATGCAAACTCCAAATATACAGGCGTCAGAGTCAGGATTGAACCCACGACCTCCTGTATACCAGGCAAAGGAGTTAACATCTCGCCACCGTATCATGACCACGATGACGTTCATGCCATGTCTGTCGTAGCTGTTGCGAACTTCACCATCAACCGTAAACATGCAGAGATCCCCATTATCAAAAATAAAAGTGGGTAACATCACCAAGATTCATGGTGCATTACGTTTCCCCTGCATCTCTGTAGGAGATACGAGGCAAACGCTGCTCTTAGGTTGTGAGTTGAAGAATTCCCCAAAGGTCCTACGATTGAGATATTTATTGTGGGGCTACCCCCAAATAAAACTAACTAAATTGGAGAAAGTTGTCCCAATGCACAGGTCATGGTGCCAGTGGCTGAGCACTGGTATCACCTGAAGCACCACATCTCTGCTCACCTTGTCTCCAACGAGGGAAGTGAAGTGTGTGGAGGTTTACTCTGATGATGATGATGATAATACTTGTAATCAAGTCAGGGTGCTGTTGTGATACAGCATGAGCTGCCCTATGGGCGCCACGCTACGGGGAAACACAGACTGCAGAGGATCCTAGGGTGATGCCTCATTTACAAACGTTTGTGTTTGTGGCCATGTCCTTCCATTCAGTCGATGGACAGGAAAATGGATTTCTCAATTAGCAATGAGAGGATAATGAGCTAAAGGTAATATTCACTTGTAGGTTCAGACATATTATTGGGATATGCCTGTACACACATACATAGTTGTAGGGCTGGAAGAGACGATATTTAAATTTACTGTCCACCACAAATGGTTGTTGTCTCTTGTGGGACATTTCCATCACACTGTTGATTTACTATATTACGATTTCACCTGAGTTGGATGGATGGTAAAGTAGGGTTCAGAATTATGTTTTTCAATGCGCTTCAAACGTGTCACTCGACCCTGCCAACTCTAATTTAAGTACTTAAGTTATCTCATACACCTGACCAATAGAATTTGCACCAAACAAATGCATATCGAGATAACATATCGTCTACTAAAGCAGCCGGTACGTGCTTGTCTCATAAAGCATTGCTCGGAAACCGTGGTGAGTACGGTAAAAGCTCTCAAAGCCAGACTCGGGTGACCCGGAATTTAGAGTATGCTAGAAAAGGTACGAAAAAATAAAAACGAAATGAAGGGTAAACATTTTTAAATACTCTAGCCGCGATACTATCTTGCACTAATTAAGTTGTGCGAGGTAGCATATGGTATTTTGCGGTCGGTAACTAATTGTGTGTATAAGTTAGTTACAGCGTACTTAATTTATGAATAAAATTTTCAGAAACAAGCGTCAGGTCGCGACCAGCAGAGCGCGTGGCGGGCTGCGTGGCAGGTGACCTCGTGGCAACTCTGCGCTAGCTCCTTTTTTTCTACTTTTATTTTCGTGACCGAATCTCTGTCGTTTCAACAGCGATCTCGCCAAGATTGTCTACGGTCACATCTTACTTAACCCATCACTTCGGCGAAGTCTACAATCACGAATAGTTATTGTCACAATCAGCACACGCCAAAAAAGTCCCATGCTAAATACACCCGAGAAAGCACAGTGACGTTGCTCCCAAAGCCTCGTAACTTACAGATGAAGCCAAACTTACCTGCGGTGGGTGAGAAAGCTGCCGTAGGCATGGCCTGATCCGTCGCATCCCGGCGTGGGGCAGGAGACGCCATCTCCCTTGCTGGCCTTCCAAGGGACCACTTGCGGCCCGCTGAGAAAGCGTTCGTGCTGGCGCTTGGTGGCGATGGGACATCCGGAGGCACTGCGGTGCGACACGTACTTGCCTGTCACATGGCCCTGCCCATCGCAGCCCGGCACAGGGCACCTGCAAGGAAGCATCGTGGAATGCGCGTACACGTTACTAAATACCCTCCCCACGGAAGATCCGTCCGCTGATTTTTTTTTTGGACAGCTTTCAAATTTTTCTTTTTGAAAATGTTTAATTGGAGATGTTTTCGTCCACGACTGTCCACCGGTGTAATGGTGGGCACACCGAGGATTGCACTCCAGAAGTCGCCGGTCTGGTTCAATCGCCCCGTGCAGGCGTTTGAAATAATGGTCAAGTTCCTGAAACTCACCCCATCTCGGTCCTGCCAGCAGCAGTTTAAATGGGTTGGTCTTCAACAGTTATTCATTGATTGACAGGTCTCGCTTGGTGGGGTAAAGTGTGGGTACTCACACCTCTTCCAACACGTCTGGTCAACGTGGAAGATTAGGCCAAATGCCTTCTGGAGGGGCTCTAGGAGTTGATTTTTAGGTGGGTATCCAGTTTACGCGATTCATGTCCCACTGGCCATCAACGTGCGCATGAGGAAAAGTGGCAATGCAGTGCTGAGTGGGATATTTCTATCACCATATAGCATGCAAGCACCGAAAACTGTTTGTCAAACATATTGTGTACAGTTTACAAGTGCATTTTGGTGTTATTCCACAAGGCGAATTAATTAGGTCAGGGATATGACCAATGGATTTTGCCCGAGCGTCACGACAAGATGGCATAACTAACCCCCCTCCCCACGGTCAGGGCATCAACCATAGCGGTCTCAGTTTGTCCCCATCGCACGGCTCCAAACTGAACATAATTGTTCTGCAAAATACAGAGTGAGCCGGCAAGGTGTTGAATGCATCTACACCGTGTGGAATCACTAAGCGTGCTGCCAGGCCTGCTCTGTGAACAGCCGAGGTGGCTCGGTGAGCTACGAAGTGGGAGCTCCTCAGTGCTCCGTGAATACACAGTCCATAGAGGCCAAGGCCACTGTCAAGTGGGCATCATGGGCCATTCCATTTAACTCAACATCCAGCCACACTCTTATTATAACCCACCAGCTGGTCTTCATCTTAGTCACCAACCTCGATGTGACATCTCCAATTTCCTGTCTCAAACATCTGCTCTCATCCATTCTGCAGACATTACCCATCCACTGTAACCTGCTCACGATTATGTTCACACTACATTATTGCCGATTTATGTGCCGAACTTTCAAGTCACCTGTGTTATCCGGCCATGACATTCCTAGTGTCCTCCATGTGTATCGACATTCAAAGGGCCAGCGTCCTTTTCCAGTTGCTTTGTGAAGGTACCACTCTCCCACCCGTGCAGAATCACAGTAGTGACTCCTGGCTCATACACCCGTCTCCTAATCAACAAGTTGATCTCCCAGCTCCTCATCCAAAGTGAACAATGTTGTTCATCACAACCATGTCCTAAATTAAGACTTCTATTCCTCTTATTCCCCCAAACCCGCGTGCATTATCTACAATAACATTCATCAGTAATTGTAACAATATTGCCTTTATAAACAAGTTCTCTTCCACTTATCAATTTCTCCTGGCACCTATGATACATCTGGGGCTAAATCAAGGTAATAAGAGAAGGCTTTGCGTTGGTGCGGAGGGCAAGAGGCGGTGGCTACAGTGACATGAGAAGGGAATGTGATCCGGTGTATTGGTGCAGTGATAAGCGTTCAAGTGGCATTGCGGATTATGTGTAGTTTGGAAGAACGTAATCAACCAGGTGGGTGTTGACTGTTGTGTTGGTCGACTCTCTGTGTTGTATTGCAATATATTTCCAAGTTTACTATGTTTTTTTCTCATTCATTTGTACCTGATGATGGTTGCTTGTGTTGCAATCGAAACGTCGTATTCTATTATTATTTAATTTAATTTATTTCTACGTGACTTTACCGAAAGAACCAAAGAGTAATTCCTGGAGTCACGAAAGCTTCGAATCTAGTTTGTAGTTTGTAAGTTAGGAAATTGGGATATTCATAGATGAAAGCATTAGTGGATTAAAGACGAGAGATAGTGAAGGCAAAAATGCAGAATATCGATGTTGTAAATGTGTATCCAGGATGTCTGTCTCCATGAGTTGAGAGATGCTGGGCAGCAAGATGAACTCTGGATCGATGGTGGTGATCATTAGTGTTCTTCTGGACATACACGGCAACAACTTAAGTAACAGAAGGAACAGACGAAGAGCCAGGACAACAGAGTTAGCCGAGACTCATCCCAGCAAATGATCCTAGCAATTTTCATTATAGCAACAACGTGCACTCTATGCCCTGCAGTGGATGTACAATAACCCCCTAGGGATCACTGATTAGCAAAGTGTCATGTGTGCTGCTCAATGGGAGCTCTCTCCTCCTTCTCCTGCCCTGTGTGCGCTGCTTGGAACTCCCTCCTCTTGGCTCTCATCACTGTGGACGCCACCTCACTTGCCCCCCCCCACCCCTTTGACCCCTCCTCCACTTTAACCCTCCTCCCCCCGTTGAACCCCCCTACCTTTCACACCCCTCCCCTTTGACCCCCTCCCCCCTTTGACCCCCCTCCCCTTTGACCCCCCCCCCCTTTAACCCCCCTCCTCCTCTTTGACCCCCCTCCTCTTTCTGGCAAAAAAAAGGACGTCATCTTCCTTCTGAGCTTGAAGGCTGTTTACTTTCTCACGTTCCCCCCCCCCCCGTGAATATTCCCACCGTATATAATTAATCGTTGTCTCGATATATTTGTTGTTAATATCCACAATTCCCTTTTTCAGCTCATACATGTTTTTTTTATCACTTACCCTTCCCTTGTTGTTGTATTTGAGAGTAATGTAGCTTTTTGATGAATGTTTTGTCCATAAGTGTTGTGGAATATTTTCACCCTGTGAGGATACATGGTTTAATTGAGCAATTTAAGGAAATTTAAATATTTATTTTAAAATTTATATACAGTATATTTTATTTCAGCAGCAGCAACAACCATTGTTTATCCACTGCTGGATGAAGGCCTCCCTACGCCATCACCATCCCTCAAGGCCTAGTGCTGCTACCATCCATTTCACTCCTGCACATCAACTATATGTATGTTGAACTTCTTTCGCACCGTATGTAGCCAACCGTGCTAATCGGAGGTGCGGGGGAAGGACAATCGAATGTGCTTGTTTCGAGAGCCGACTAACTGTACTTTTAAACGTGCAGTGGTGCAGTGAAATTATTCATTCAACTATGCTTCATTGACCACAGTTCCTAGGCAGTGTACAAGTGTTACATGATGTATTACAATGTTTATATAAGAGCCTTTGCCTCCAATGGCACGTAGTGTCTTAAAATACAGTTGCCCAATTCAATGGAACGATTGCCGGGAGTCGGTGCATACAGAGGACACGTGCCATAGTTTTCAGGTGAGTCTGCCTCCCATTACTAACAAAAGGCTCAGAAAAAATGTCAATGGAAACATAACAAATAAAAATACAAACAAGAACAGAGTGACATTATAGTTTCATGACAACGAACCTTCCCTCTTACCTTTCCCATGAGATTTCTCTCTTCTGTGACACTATTCTGTCTCATTGCCCTATTCCAATTCCCACTGACTCTGTTCTGTCTCTCCTTTTCACACCTCACTCCTAACGTGTTTCATGTCAAGTTTGATTTTAAAAGAAATGCAGCTTTCAGACACGTCTAATAAAAGTCTAATTTCCGAAATAATACCAAGTATTTTTTTAGGATCAAATTCCATCTTCGTGGCTTACTAATTTGTAATGTGATCATGGGAGTTGATATAAACACAGATTTCAATTACGTGAGTTTTTTTACTTGAGGTTTTTTTTTTATCAAGGTGCAGTTGTATCTGTGCAAAGTCGATGTCACCCTGGTCAGTGAGTGGGGCTTCTATTCATTGGAGACCCTAAGCCAGTGGGATAAATCCACATTTGATAGTCAGGGAGCCTGTCCCTTCACAGGACGAACACTCTTGACTTCCTCCAAACTGCTAATAATTTCAATAACCCCGGAGGGATTAAAAACTAAAACCAAACTATATTATTTTCCCAGGTAAAACCCGCCTGGCCATACGTGATAGCTAATCGAAGTGGCTGATATCATCATCATCATCATCACACGTGGGTATTAATAGAAGCAGCCAAGTAATATGACCGGATGTTGATCCTAAATGTGGAGGAGGACAAAACTGGAGTATCTGGAGAAAAATTCCACGCGACCACCACAACAAATACACAACAGGCGTCGTCAGGGTCAATAGATTGAACCCACGACCTCCTGCACTCCAGGTGAGGGAGATAACATCTCCCCACCACGGAGTCCCTGATTCAACCCCTGACCAGGATGTGAATGCCCAATCTTGAGAACGCGAGTCAAGCGCTATAACCGCGGTGCCGCCCGACTGCATTACAACACCACACGGCACAATACTCTTCGTTTTAAAAGGGATTGCTTGTGTAAACATATTTAGGATGCAGAGGTCACGACTAGACATGAACCCTGGTACACAATCCATAGGTGGGCACTGGCTCAACAGCTCTCATATAACCTCTTCTAAAGGGATACATCTGCTTCGCCTATGTTCTGATTACTTGAATAGCTTTGGGTCAGCTGAGTTCATGGCTACCAAGATCATTAAAACTTAAAGTTTTAGTCAGCCATACACCCTGCTGAGACAAGATTTATTTTTAATGTCCATCTATGGATCATGTGCACTCTCAGCAGAGGATGTAACATTTACTATTTGTCTATAGCAGAGCATAGGTCCCCTATGGCTATAGCATAGGCATAGGTCCCCTATGATACAGGCATAGCTCCTCTATGCCCTACGTTGGGACAGCTGCCCGCTGTGCGAACGTGCGGAGCTGGGGGGGACAAGGGCGCTCGCTGTCTCTGGCTGTGAGGTGCTGGGGCATGAGGAGGAAGGGGCTGCCACGTGACTTCATGGCTATGCCAGCTGACGTCTGCCTGAGGACTTTGTTTCAACGCTGTGTATATGTTGCCGACTGTGAAATCACGCACAACAGCGTTTGCTAAGTAATACATAAATAGGGCCTTCAGAATAAAGAAGGGTCGTTTCAGAAACACCACTTTATGGATGATTCAAATCGAGGCTAATGTTGGTAATGAAAGTGGTGGAAAATGTTTACTCTGCCCATTCCTACATGTCTGTAACTTTAGTTCTTAAAATTGTACTACATACTGACTGACAATTAAGTAAAAAAAAAGACGGCAAGTAGCTACGCATTCACCGACACGAAACGAACAGCACATGTAACACTTTAGATATTACATACTAAATATGACAAATGTGGGTTAGCTACTGACCTTCTGTGCGATGCATAGTTGCCACTGATGTGCCCCGAGCCATCACAGCCAGGGGTCGGACACCTTAAGCGGACAGAGATAATAAAAGCAGGACAATGATGATGCCACCCCACATTGTTAACTTGTAAACGAAAATAAATATACGAGCAGATGATTCCATCTTTGTAAATTGGTGCATATTTTTGTACCCCCTTTTTATATCATTACATCGATATTCCACCAAACACAGGGGTCATATTTACACTTCCATTAGTTTGTAAAGGTGGCTCTTAAACAATAAAAAAAATATTTTCACCCAGAAATAGTCGAGTTCTGTCACCCATGCGGTAACACAGACATTACGCCTGCCTCCAACTCAACATTGATGCTGACCTCTCTCTCTACACTATCAGCATGCGTTCTGTAGTCCATCAAACTTGCTCTGTGAACACAGTATAACTGAACCTCCTTCTCACCATCCCGCACGAGGATCATTACTCTAAATACAAAGCCCTTCCTACCAACACCTACATACTGAAACAATCAGCAAAAATGTAATTCGCGCAAAACATACTAAACAATATCAATTCGTAATGTGCACATAAATTGTACTCATTAATGGCATTGATTATTGAGCCACATCATTGGATTATTACGAAGGGAGGGTGGCACCTTCATAGCAATATATTTACCTTAATGCCTAAACCTAGCTCCAAAAACGGCCTTCATGCACTTTATTTAACCAGATGAGAGCCCACTGAGAAGATTATTATCTTTATGTCCTATATTTAAGAGCCCATTAATATTTATTATTTCTTAATTTAACATTGCCACCCTATTATAATGTACTGTGTGTGCTTTAACGTGTGACCCCTTTCAGATATATTATTTGCACACCTTGTTTATTGAACGAGGGTTCTTCATGTCCTTTATTTCACCACGAAATCCCATTCTGATGCATTAATTCTTCATGTGACTTTCTGAACCAGGAATAGCCTCACTGAAAATCACGTCTTCTTTATGTCCTCAATTTAACCAGAGCCCATGACATTATTTATTCATGTCCTTTATTTAACCATGACATCCCATTCTGTTGCATTCATTCTTGATGCGCTTTAACCAGGCGCAGCCGCTCTGAGAATCAACGTTTCACGGGCCTGAGAGATCATCTTTAACCATGCAAAGGCACGATGAGATTCATACTTTCTGAACAACCTTTAACTGTGACACGCCATTAAGATGCAACATTTCTCCATGTGCTATATTTAACCAGGTGTAAGTTCTTTGAGATAAATGTCGTTTATTCATTGCCGTATTTTGCTTAATGTCTTTTCTATCGCTGTGACATCCGGATTCATTACATGTTTGCCGACTTATAGAGGAAGGTGTAACCCCATTGTTTTTCATGATTATTTTATATCCATTGTTTGGCCACTTGATTGGCCAATGAGATCAATATCTCTGGATCAGTGCCCTTTACTTAACCATATCACATTACTATTCTATGGTTCTTTCGGTAAAGTCACGTAGATAGAAAAAAATACAATGAAATAAAAATAAAGTGAATAAAATATAACGACGTTCTACAGGGGCGGGCGTAGAGTGGATACCTGGATGGTGTCCGACTCAGGCATCCACTCAACGCCCATCCCTGTGGAAGAGGTACGCAGATGACACGTTTGTCATCTGGCCACATGGCCGACCGGCTCTAAACCAATTCCTCAACCACATAAATTCCATACACCCAGTCATCAAATTCACCATGGAGGTAGAAAAAGATGGCATGCTACCTTTCTTGGATGTCCTAATAAAAAAGAGACCAGATGGCTCAATGAGCCATTCTCTCTATAAGAATGTAATTGGTGTAGACCGACTGTTGGTGTCGGGCCCTCTCCTACATTAACATTAGCTGCCCCACCCATCTCTAAACCTTTATAAACAGCTCTTTGATTGGTGTAGACCGACTGTTGGTGTCGGGCCCTCTACTACATTAACATTAGCTGCCCCGCCCATCTCTAAACCTTTATAAGCAGCTTGCCTTCAGAGGCTAACCTCCCTGTTCCTGATGACGACCGCTTGTGTTGCGATCGAAACGTCGTCATATTTTTATTCACTTTATTTTTATTATTTTATTGTTATTTATTTTTATCTACGTGACTTTACCGAAAGAACCATAGAATATTAATTCCTGCAGTCACGAAAGTTTGAAGTCAAAACATATCACATTACGTCGGGCGTTCTGGCCATTGTGACCCCATCGACACCAATGTATTATTTAATTATTTAATTGTTTGATGTTCTTCAGCCATGTGACAGCCCATTGAGAGAGTTGACCACGGTAGCGGACGCCTGCAATGCGGTGGTCGAGAGGTGGGGTTAGCGGATCGAGTGTTCTCTTTTGCATGCCTGAGGGACCCATCTGTGAGACACACGTAGGAGGCAGTTCACCAATTTGACGCTGCCATGTATGTGCAGATACACTGAATTATCTCCCTTTAGGCATTAATTCTAGATTTGAAGTTTTCGTGACTGCAAGGATTCATACTCTTTGGTTTTTTCCCACTTGATACAGTAATTTTGCTGTGACGGTTCCACCTGAAGACGGACGCTTGTGTTGCCTCCGAAACGTCGTGATAAAATTAAATCTAATTATTTATTTATTTTACCTACGTGACTTTACCGAAAAAAACAAAGAGTATGAATCCCTTTAGGCATGTTTTAATTCTGAGGATGCCCTACGTGTGAAATACTCAATAAGGAATTGGCCAGACATCCCAAGCAGGGCTGTACTGAAAAAGTCTTGATATTGAAAGGACAACTGTGTATGTATGTATGTTGAACTTATTTCGCACCGTACCTAGCCAAGCGTGCTAATCCGAGGTGCGGGGCAAGGACAACACACTAAACACAAAAACAAGTTCTAAAGAAATTAGTTTTCAATCTAGATGATTGAAAATGCATAGCTCCTGTGGCTTCCTAATATTGGAAGGAAAAGCGTTCCAGATAGCTGCAGAAGCGCATCTGAAAGCCCGCGAACTGTGGCTCATCATCATGAACCTACTCTATGGGTGTGCTCAGCGATGCGCCATGTGGTACAATGTCTACGAGTGGCCCCTGACGGACTCGTCAGTGATCTCAGGGCCCCCTCACGCTACTGATGAAGTGGTTTGGCGAGGAGCTGATGTGATGATAATGATGATCGTCATCATCGACCATCATCACATCAGCCATGATGTATGCCCTTGCTAGATGAAGACCTCACCGAGCCGTCACCATGGCTCACAGTCCCATGATGCGACAAGAGCAGACCTGAGAAGATAAAGGAATGTGGAGAAGTTTTGCACGCTGACTGACCGACCCGGCGACTTGCTGGAACAGAGGTCGGTTGATGATGATGATGATGGTGGAGGCATGCATAACGTTATCCACAAGCACCCAAAAAAAGGGGACATTTACCACTATTTTAGTGTTCACATTTGGTGAACAGTTAATAAGTTCTAAGCTATTACAAACATCACTTGATTGTAAATAAATCACTTAATTAGGCTTCTTCGCAATATCGCTGCAAGTGAAGTATGAATCAAATATACAGCAGTGTCTGTACCAGCTTTTACAGCTGGTACATATATTGATTTGATGTTATCTTTTTTAATGTTTGTATATTTAAAGCGTTATTGTGTAGAAAATGAATTGTAAATTGATCACAAAATCATGTTCGTTAACACTGAATCCAAAATCACATCCTATACTCCTACAAAACCGTTGCGTGTGTACGTAGCATTTGCCAACCAAAGGTTACTCCTTGATAGAAAAGCTGAAGAAATGCCCCATGAACGCATGAGTTCATCCAGCCGATTAATGTCCCAACTGAATTGTGTTACAATTGCGGTCTTGCTCACTCACCTCAGCACCAACTAAAACACGTTCCACATGAAGTCGCTCGACTCATTTGCTGAGTCAGGAAATGTGATCGTAATGCCAAATTATGCAACTTTATTTGCCTCCGGTGAAAGAACACATCAACCTATCTTGACGTTAAAATGGATTTGTATATGAATATTTAACTGAACTCATCACTCTGTACGGACCATCTCAGGCACTGCAATCAGAAAACTCGTACCTCCTGACAGCCCTGCCAAACCCATCTGGCCCCTGTTGATGACAGCGCTTCGGTCAAATTTGCTCTCATATTTCGGACGCATCTTCTTCCTCTAGAACTGCGGTCACGCAACTCTATGTCTCGTGTTTGGAGTCAGGCCCCCCAAAAATACGGCCCTTTATTAAGGAATGTTTAATCAGCATATTGTTTCCGAGAAGTGCGATGAGTGGTTGAATGCATTACCTGAGTGAATTTGCATTTGTCAGTTGAGTGCGGTGTGAATAAAAGTGTGTAGGATGTGTATAATATACGGTGCTTTAGCCTGGGCCTCGTATGAAGAGCATGGTATAAATGCCTTATTATTATGCTGACATGATTACTCAAGTATGAGTGCCATAACACGTTGTTCCTGCCAATGTTCGCTATGTTGCGATTTTTCTTCAAGATGTATCTAACAAATGCCATGCGTGCCAGTGTGGATTTTCTAGCTTTGGCGAATGGCCTTAAACATTCAGGATGCATATTGGTAGCTGGAGATCTATCAACAACGTGGGTCTGTTCGTTTACACACACACACTCGTACAAGTGATGAAAATTGTTGTCGCTATAACCATAATATAGAGGAGTTTCATCTTTGAGTAAAATGAAAAAAAAACATTACATGTTACATATACCACCACAATCTACATTCCCATCTTTAAATAACTACAATTACCTACCCCCGAAAATAACGTTGCAAATAAAGTTGTTACATACGTTAATAACATCTGTTAATAACATATAACGCATATTCCCATTTCAATCGCATTACTGGATGAGGGCATCCCCCTACGTTGTGCAAAAAGGTTTCAGATACAACAAATTATTACAACACTGCAGCGCAGACAGAGGTGTGTATATAATGGCACAGCATAGCCCATTAAGGTACGTGTTATTGCTTTCCCTCTGTGGAATTACATGTAACAATTACAGAAGGTCCACAGACTTACTTTAACTCTTGAGTGTTGGAGGTGATAATGCTCCTGATGTTCTTGTCTGCCAGTGGGCAGCCAGAGAGACTGTAAATAAAACTACATTGTTTACTATATCCATTGCAGTTTGCCCCTACATTAACAGATGGGAAACATTAACAGACGTATAAAAGAAAAAAAATCTGTGCTTCGATTACAACTAGTCATAAAGTTGAAATACTCCTTTACATTATGAAATATCGTCGTATAGTATTCGTAAATATAAAATTGTGCTATTGTATAGGTGACAAAAATGTATCTGATGCTGAAGTAATCTATGTTTACTTTTTAAAAAATCCCATTGAGGGGTATTTATTAACATGAATCCTTTTGATGTTATATCTTGGCTGACGTATTACATCGTTAGGAATGGGATGGATCCAGATCTGTGGCTTTGCTGGGTATCTCCTGGATCCAGATCCATTTTCAAGATCCCTGGCGGATCCAAGGACGTTTTGTGGCCAGCCACACAGGGGGATGCTCTTGCAGCTCACAAGGAGGGTGGGCAAGTGTGATGACTTTTTGGCACTTACGCCACTCAGAGTTACGCTTGAGCACGAGTATGTGTGGGGCACAATTATATGTACGTGCATGTCTTCATGTATGTACGCGTTTTTATGTACACGCTGTATGTGGAGTGATCGGTGGTGTAGTTGTTAGCGCATGCCTTGCAACTTGGTAAGTTACTGCCCACTGAGAAAGGAGTTGGAGTCTCTGCTGCTGGATCACGTCACGATAATGTGTGACCTCGCTATCAGCATCCCCACAAATACAAAGCACCTGCCTGGGTGTACTTGATTCCATTAAACACTCCATCCCCTCGACTCTTCGTGAGTAATGGGGTTGGCTGTGGAGGGCGTGAGGGAATGGAGTTCCCATACCCGGGGCTCTGTTCCTCTTGGCCAGCCCGAGCCGACCCTGGCAGCGTAGGTCTCAAACCCGAGATCGATAACCTGGCGTTATCTTTAAGTCTCAAACCCGAGATTCAATAGACTGCATAACGCTGTGCCGATGTTGCTTTCTCTGTCTTCAAACGATGCTCCGAGTCTTTGTCTCTTCGCTCGTGAAACGATGGCCTGGCACCAGTTTAAAACCAGCTTTAAAACATTAACCGAGGCTGGATTTGGTGAGCTCAGAGATCTTTTTTTTTAAAGATCTGGCCACCGTCATTGTTGCGTGTACTGGATATAATTCCTCTTATTACAGTATGTTGTCAAGGCAGTGCAACCCATTTGTGACGACTGTGTCTTCTTACCCACAAAGCCCAATTGTTAACTGGCACGTCATGGGAAGAGTTGGGTAATCCGGGGCACAGGTAAAATTAGTTTCAATTGTAGGAGTGTTGTCTTCGTGGTTAAGAGTATATGTGTTAAGTATGTCTCTATATGTACAATACATGTGATTAATACGTGTGTTATCTGTGTTGACTTAAAGCTTTCGTGACTGCAGGAATTCATACGTTTTGGGTCTTTCCGTAAAGTCAGCGTAGGTAGAAAAATAATAACCTGAAGACGATTGATTGTGTTGCCATCGAAACGTCGTGATTTTTAAAAATATTTTTTTTATCTACGTGACTTTACCTAAAGACCTAAAGAGTATGTTACGTGTCTTCATATATATACACGCAATATGTTCAAGTAATACACACAATTACAGTGTCTATCTTGTAATGTAATCTGTATAAATACGGTATATACTACCTCACCTTAAGGTTTACAGTAAAACGATGCAGTGCTGCAGTGCGTGTGGTTTTTTTACCCGACGTAAATCCTGCAACGGTGGGACATTAAAATAGTGAAGCGGCGCGCACAAGATTCATAATTAATTGGGTTCGCTCACGTATGTATAATGTCCACGGTTTTAACGACAACCCTCCTCGCGTGAGCCCAATGGTGACAAACACGAGCGCGGATAAGGTGGCAGGCATCGTTCGCTTGGAGCCGCAGTCGTTACGGAAGGCGGACACTGGGGGGCGATGCTTAACACGCATCGCCCAAGAGGGCTCAAGAGCTGCCAGCCACCGAGAGGCCTGGGTTCGAATCCAGGCAGCTTGCCCCGTGATTAAACCGGATCGTCGCTCAGGTGTGGTGAATTGGTGGTCTCAGCCCAGGCGTCAACGACTTCACAGGCACATCGTAAATGCTGTACCCCGCTGAAATGTGATCAACTGCAGCTCAACGAATTAAAAGATCAGTTTTGACTGTCGTGTGGCGAATGTTCCTCTCGTATGCTGAGCGGCTGGGGAAGTCCTGCCTTCGAATGTGGGGGGCACTGATGACTTGACGGGATTTTTAGAGGCAGCTCCATGATGTCGGAGCGGTGACATACGGTTCAGTTTATACCAGCTTGTTGCAGAGGTTCAAGGTTGGAACCTGAGAGGCCGTCCTGGTTAATCGTGCGGGCGTATTAACCATACAATACGTGCCGTCTGCTTTACAGTGAACATTGCAGATCGCGTGACGTCTTTTGGAAAAAAAGTAGTAAGCCATCGTGTGCTGGCGTCATGGTCCAACATGACCAAACTTGAAAAATTACTCGCGTATAACTTAATCGGGAAACACACAAGATACCAGTGCCCTTTAACTGCAGGACCCTCCTGCAAATAGTGTTGAGACTCAGTGGGGCTTGATAAAAATATACTTTTAGTAAGCGTGTCTGTCTGCTTCCGTGGCCCGTTCTCTAACACGATAGGTTGTAATGTTCTTACCCACCCCGACTGGACATCTGTGACAAAATAGCTTTATAGCTCATCGGATTCCTTCAGTATAAAAACACCTTCTGATGATTTTGAACGCACGCTTCGTCTTGCGACGCGACGCTGATAGTCACGGACGGGATGAATTGGGGAAAGAGTAAACATGAATGAAGAACATCTTGGAGTCCTCATTGATTCAAAGACCTCCTTCCTCTCTCCTCCCACATCCCTCAGGTGTGTAGGATGCCGTACCTCCTACCTACACAAAACAACTCCCGCATCCTCCACTTCTTTTCCCCAGCGACTGCGTTGAGCCGCAACGCTCTCATCTATGGCCTCAAGTCCATCAAGACTCCTCACCCGTGCTCGTAATCAAGACCGCATCACCCCAATCCTCATTTCCCTTCGATGGCTCTCAATCCAGTGGTATAAATCGACTACAAGACCGCTCTCACTGCCTTCACTTCTACCCCTATCCCGGCCGGGTGTGATCTCCACTCTTGCAATCAGAGCCTCTTCTTGAAACCCTGAGATGACCTCTGCTCAGTCAGAGGTCACTCTCTGCTGCTGCTCTATAATCTAGAATGTTCTCTCCTCAACCATCCATGCTGCTGACTGCCTACTACTGCCGTTTAAGTTTAGGATGAAAAATTATATGGTCTCTTTTGTCCATCACTGGCCACAATTATTGTATGTATATAAGACGTGCGTTTGTGTGTGTTCTGGCCACCCACCCCCTCGTGTGCTGTGCCATCCATCATAGGTGCTTGCTAACAGCACTTTCCCCAACAGTCTGATAAGGCTATACGGGGGAACTGTGTCTTTGTATTAAACATATATTTCTCCCTGTGTAACCTGTGATCCAGAGGTCCGACTTTCTGTACAGCGTATTGAGATGCAGTTGCCTATACGTATGATAAGTTGTATCGCATTGTATTGTGCAAAACAGAGGGATCAGATCACTGGTAGAAAAATGGGCACTGGCGAAGAAAATGTAACAAAAGCTGGGAAGTGCATAAAGAAGCATGGTATTGCACGGAGAGATGGAAAAAGACACCCATGGATCGGACAGAAAATGCAAATTAGAGACACCATATTTACTGTTACGGTCAGAGGGCTTGGACGAGACGGTAACGAGATGGGCTCGAGTCTAATTACCAAAGAAAGACCAAGCCCATGAGGGCACCATTGTGGAGATGGAGCACTGGGATCAGCCGGTGCGAGGAGCGAAGTGGATTTCTGCATCACAGGACCGTGATGGTGGTGGTGGATTGGGGAGGCCTTCATCCAGCAGTAAATAGATCACGGCTAAGGATGACACACTTGGGCTAACAATTTATTTACAATTAAAAACAACTTTAGTATGGAATTAATGCTTAGCAGACGTTAATGAATGCTGAATGTATTAAGTAATATTTAAATGCGTTAGACATAACACCTTGAATTGTTTTCCTTAAACAGGAATCAAACCCATGCAAAAGTGAGGGTGCATTATCTCCTTCTGCTACAGGGCGTTCTCCAACTGCACAATTTTCTTTTGCCCGAAGATATAAAAAATGCAGTGCATCACTTGAACCGGCGTTGCCTGCCCCCTGACCCCCCTGGCTTCTGCCCAGACCCCCCCCTCCCCCCACAGAAGCGGCCGCCGCCATCGAGTCAGTCAGCAACACCACTCACAAAATGGCGGCGCTGCCAGCTGTGCCCAGGAAGGGTATTTTGGGATTCGTGGTTAAGCTCACCACCGCACCACGCACTGGAAATAAATAACTAAACACACATTTGCTATTTAAAAAACAACTGTGAAGCTGCCTGTTTGTAACTTGTCATCTGATCATCCACCTTTGTCTCCGGAGAGCGAGAGTATTTGCTAATTATGTGTAGAGACGGAGCGATGCAATTCGCCGGGGGGGGGGGGGGTGGGGGGGGATGTCGTATTGATGAATACAAGACGCGTTGAGCACACAAGGAGCACAGACTGAAGGCCCTTTGCTTTCCCCACATTCGTCTGCAAAGAAGGGCAGGACAAAAATAAAATCGTCTCGTCTCACCCGTGTCTTCGCATGTCCGAACTGGGCTAGGAGAGTCCTTCGTATCGATCGCACATTATCGTGAGCTCTCGCGATAAATATAATGAGCCTTGGGGGACTGTGAAATATTAATGTCAGTCTTTAAATAATTTATTGTACATGGTCTTATCATTGCCCCATATCCAGCACACCTATGGTGTGGTGTAGAGTAAACCAGGACCACCAACATTGCTCATGGATAATTAGAAAGTATTCAAGTGCAATGTATCTTGTCTTAGAATTGTGTAAACATAACTATAAAGTCATACCCTACTTCATGATAAATAAGAGGGACCATACCATATATATAAAAATGAAGGTACAAGTTTGTTTATGTAATACCAATGTCCATGACCTGTGTTTGAGCGTTTGTGTACAATGTGTGTACAGTATCATGTCATGGTATATGTGGTTTTAGATGTTAGCTGCATATTAAAGTATTCTAGATTTGTATGTGTATAAAGTACTAAGGTTACAGTTTTAATAGACTTCATTACTCTTGTGATCATACTGAGAATCAGAAGTGCTCATATTTAGCTGTGGGCACAGTGGATCAAGTAGGATTTGGAAATAATCTACATCTGGCTTGTTGGCTGATGGATCCATCCCATTCCTCATAGAATCGTTATTAGTTTGCTTGGTCATTTAATTAACATGACAGTTTTAAATGCACAGATATCAAATTTGAACCAGAACACCAAAATGTTAACATATGAACAAGTCGATATAATATGCACAGCAGTTTGCAAATTATGCAGTTTGCAATTTTGAATGATGATGATGATATGGCAATAGGACAGTGAGAGGGTGGGCGACAGTGAGTGTGACGACGACGATGACGATGGTGGTGGTTGTGCTGTTCGGTTTCTCCGTTGGATTACGTTGGGTACCCTACAGGTGCCACTTGCCTCCTGTGTGATGCGTAGTTCCCAGTGACATGGCCACTTCCATCACACCCTGGAGTTGGGCAACTGCCAAAAAACAAACATGATTCTACCACCAGAAAATGGCATTTAGACTTGAATCTGTGCGTCGATATACGTGTACGTTTCTAAGTATAATTCGCTCATTCTTGCTTGGCCAAATCATCTCTTGTTCTTGGGTACAGGTCAAGGCCATTTTCTCAGTTGGTAATGAACTGTTTGAAAGTTACATACACAGAAGAGAACAGTTGAATGTTTTACTAGAACGCTGCCAGCAAGCATCTCGGCTTTTTGCTAGGGGCCCTAGAAATAATCAGTGGATACAAACCAGGTAACTGGTAACCACACTTTCTGATGTACGAAGGCAGGCTGCACTGGCACGTAGCTTAGATTCAAGATGACACAGCTGAGCAAGGAATGTGGAGGCGCTCGCTAGCTGATGTCTTAAAGCCGCGGACCGAGGGCCCAGCTGTTGGCAGCCTCCGTGAGGTGCAACAAACAGGTGCACAGTGCAACGTAAAGTGGCTTTGCTCAGCGCCCACAACCCAGGGCGAGTCCTACCATTGTTACATGAACTTTGAATGCCACCCAAAGCATCAGATGAAGGTCCGACAAAGAGTGCACGTGACAAGGACTTTAGGAAACGAAGACCTTGGCAAATGATACATGCAAAATTTCCAGAAAACGTGCTTCCATTTGCGCGCTTCTGTACGCTTCAGAGAAGGGCATGCGCATATAAGGAGGGCTGAAAACTACCATTTCTAAATTTGATTTCCATCACCGTTGATTAAGCTAAGGACTCTGAAATAGCTAAAGATTCACACAGCCAGCCAAAACCATGTAGGTGACTGGCGTAAATGCCTTTTGCCGGGGAGACGTAAAACGACAAGGCACAGGTTGCTAAGGTTTCTAGCAGAATTATTCATCCAGTGAAATAGTGAGGGAGCTTGGCGACCTTGTGTGTATTGGATCCTACTTACAATCATCTCTCCTCGATGTGGTCACGCAACAAGTAGTATGAACACCGAGGTATGCTAAAGTATACAGTAATTAGTATTTACCCAGGAAAGCCTAAAAACTATTGTTTAAGATAATCCAGTGTTGAGATCTTGACCAATTCCGTTTATGAGTGTTTGGAGTACTTGGAGGAAACCTATGCATCTGACGAGATAACACGCAAAGCTCCACAGACTCAATCCAGTGAGTGGACCAAATCTCTCCTTTGGACTTAACCGATGTTCCCTCTATGTTAGGCGCTGTCACAGAAAGCAGGCATGGAGGAATGGATGAATGACGAGCAACATTAATGCCACTATTTTCCCACCATTCTGCCAAAAGGTGGCAGAATGACAGGTCTTTTCAGCGAAGATGATGCCATCTCTTTTCCACGCTCCTTCCTCAATGTGCCCCCTCTTTCAAAGGAACATCTGGACCCGGGTGTGCAACCTCCCGGGTGTGCAACCTACTGCCCAAGGGCCACAACGTTTCCATGGCCTGTAGGAAGCTAGCAGATCCTCACTGGGGACTGCAGGACATCCTCAGTGTATGCACGAACAATTGATTGGTACACAATCTGAGCTGAACCTATCATGCCTTCCTAGCGGCCAGTTTAAAATGATTCAGTACAAGTTTTAGGCATGCGTAAAACTAGTAAACACTGGTATCTCAACTTGGTCTGAGTCACCTGTTGGTTGATTCAGACTCATAATTAGGACCTGGTGCATTGTGCCAAAGTTATAGCTTGTGAGACAAAGGTGGCCAGGAATTGTCCTGGCAACACCATCTTGTGGTGGTGGCGCACACCTGTAATTCATCACTGTGGAGGCGATGGTTGTTGGATCAACACACAAATATGTTGTGGAATTCCCTTTCCATGGGTGTCGTGGTGCTATGCCCTGGCTCGCCAGGAGTATACAGGGCAGCAAATGTGTACTCCACATATTCCGTCCGTATGGGATAGAGTGTTTCCCCCTCGTACGCATTGGTTTTCTCCTGAGCCATCGGATTTCCTCCCACATATATAGAGGGCCGCAGAGCTTGGGTAAATGTTGGCGCCTGCTCATCGCATGGCTGCCTCCACGCACGTCTCTGGTTCCTCGTGGCTCTGAGTTGTTCTCTCTCTTCGAGAGTGAGGGAAAGCTGTGTGTGTGATAAATCTAAACTATTATTATTAGTGCCTATCTTAAGAGGGTACCAGCGCTTTGTGAGTCTATTAGGCTAATTTGGAGATGGGTGTCTTTTTGCGTGTTAATGCGTAATGAGACTCTCCGATATGAATGACATACATAATAGTCGGGTGTGATGCCAGCATTGTGTTAAATCGTCAGTCCAGAGAGTACCCTTGACTTCATTTGGTCAAAATACATCCCCATCTGTCTATAGGCCTCGAAGCTTTCAGTCAGGTACCAATATTTGCCAAGCCGAGTGTGACAATCGAAGTGCGCTCAACAATGGAGAGCTTGTCATGCCGAGTGTGATAATGGCCATACAATTTGCATGATTGTTGATATGTAGGACACTTAATTTATCCAAATATAGAGGAGAATTTGAAATAAAACTACAGCTTATGCAATGCCAACTTGGCCTGTCCCCTTTATAGGTGATTTCTGCACAAGTTTTTTTTATTGGATGTGAAAGCGGGCAAATTCTGTGACCAGGGTAACTTTGGTACTCACGCAATAATCTCTTTCTTGCCATCTTTACAATGACCATTCTTGACTTTGGGTCCTCGTAAGCTGATTTCTCTTGAATATCTCCTCTCCTCCATAAAATCTGGCAAGTCTTCAACCTGGTGTGGTCATAGAGCAGCAGCAACATTTAGTGACACTCGATTGTTGTCCCTCCCCCTACACTTACGATTAGCACGGTTGGCTAAGTACGGTGCGAAAGGAGTTCAAAATACATACAACTTATAATACATACAAGCATGGAAGGATGCACGCTTGGAATTACGTCGAGAGAGAGAGAGGAACATGTGGCTTGGAGAACGCGCAGGTTAATGACGTTCTCCAAACTGTTAAGAAACATGGGCGGGCTTGGGCAGGACACGTCGCTAGAAGGGACGATGGACGATGGTCGAGAACAATAACGGACAACAATCACGGAGAACAATGACGGAGAACAATGATTGAGAAAAATAACGGAGAATAATAACGGAAAATAATAATGGAGAACAATGATGGAGAACAATGACGGAGAACAATGACAGAGAACAATAACAGAGAACAATGACGGAGAACAATGACGGAGAACAATGACGGAGAACAATGACGGAGAACAATAACAGAGAACAATGATGGAGAATAATGACGGAGAACAATGACGGAGAACAATGACGGAGTGGCAGCCAAAGACTGCAACGCATCCAAGAGCATGTCTACCAACGGGATGGAGCAACACAATCTGAGTTAGGAGGCCATCATCCAGCAGTGGATGGATCATGGCAGATGATGATTTCTAAATGTATGTATACTTTCCTCTACAGTTAACACAACACAGAAAGATTAATTTATAATTGATTCATCACGCACCCCCCCCCCACTCCACCCTAACCGTGTATCCTGCGCATTCTTCTTTCGTACGGCTGATGTAGATGCAGAGCAACAACCACAATTTCACACTCAGGTGGTCAAGCCAGATAACCGCGTCAAGAGCAGCCGAGTGTATCGCTGTGATGTCTCCTTCATATTTGTTGATCGAGCCATTGTGTCGTTATACGTTGTGCGTTCTGTTTTGGATGACCACAAGTCGCAGACTACTGGAGAGTTTTTAGTTCTCCATTTGTGCATTCAGTGGTGTCGCTATATTACAGTCTGTTCTCCTATAAAGCCCGCGATAACACCTGAGATGCGTACACAGGCTGAACAAAGACCGAGGGTGCGTGGGTAGCATCTAGAAGCATCCAGCAGCATCCCGCCTTGTGCAACGCTACGCCAAGGCAGCCGTACGACCGCTTATTCCTACTCGCACGACGTAGTTCCGCTCACTGGATCGCGTTGTACCCAATTTGCATCCGCGTTAATAAAAAAAAACGTATTCCCTAATACAGTCATCGCGTTACATCCGATTTGTGTCGTGCTACAACGACGCGTCACAGGAGAACGGACTGTGTACCTCTTTCTGCGGCTCCGCCTCCATGGGCCTCCCCGTGTGGGGAGGGTAGTCCCCGGGGGTGTCCCACGGGTTGTGAGCGTCGGCCAGCAGGCAGGCGCGCCCCCCGCCGCCCAGGAGGCTGGCACCAGGGCTGTGCAGGGAGTACGGGCTCGGCGAGCCCACCAAGCTGCTGCCACCGCCACCGCCTCCACCGACCAGCTCCCGGTTCTGGCTCAAGCTGAGCTCCATGCTCCCTCTCTCGCCCATGTCCAGCGGCTGACTCTGCGCAAGAGATTTGACCCAAAAACCTATATTATGAATAATATTGGTCGCGAAAGCCTACGTGTTAAGTATGGTCAAACAAAACCAATGGCCGACACAGCTATGGAAAGACCTTTATCCAGCAGTTGCTTGAAATTGGGCCATTAACCCAAATAAACTAAAAACTAACTTTTATTTTACCAAGTAAGGCCCAATAAGCTATGCGACCTGGCCACAAATGCGAGCTCGAAAACGTGTTTTCCACGTGGCAATTTATTGCAGCCAACTACTATAAACGCATGTTTCTAAATTTGGATGGAAAAACCAGAGGACCCGGAGAAAAATCCATGCGACCACGGGCAGAATATGCAAATTCGAAATATACAGGTGTCAGGGTCGGGATCGAACCCACGATGTCCTGTATATGAGGCAAGGGAGTAAACATCTCGCCACCGTGGTGCCACACCACAGCTATCCGACCTGCTCATCAAACAGCTGTGGTGAGCCACTTTATCATGCTGGGTGGACAGAGGCGAGGTGGTTAACATCCCGCCACCGCGGGATGCAAGGTCGTTAGGCCGAGGAGGTGTTAGCGACGTACTTGCGTGGGTGTGAGCTCTTGGCTGCGGCTGAAGAGCGGCTGCGGCGATTCCCAGCAGCGCGTGGACAGGTTGATGATGGCTGTCGCGGCCATGTGGGCCGCCTCGTCGTCGTGAATGTAGTCGAAGCTGGCCGGCTGGCTGCAGCTCGGCGGGTAGCCGCTGTCCGCCGGGCTGCACGAAGCCAGCGGTTTTACGTAGTGGTCACCTGCGCACGCGGATAACAGACGACGGTATCCCGTGTAGCCTCAACAGAAATTTTGGAGCAAGTGCCGTAGGACCTATGAAGGCCGGCATGGCACACGAGGGGCGTGGGTGACCAGCGCCAAGTCCGGCCGCCTCTGTCGCCCCAGTGGCGATGCTTGAACACATCGCAGCGAGGTACTCATTTGAGGCTGAATCGACCTAAGGGAGGCCCAGGACCGTTTCAAATAATTGTTACTGGTGTTGGCCGTGAGCGGGCGTCGAACTCGGGCCTCCAAGTTCGATTACGTTTGGTGTTGAGTTTGAATCCAATGTCATTTTTTTTATGCCACCAACAATCGTAAAATAATAGTTTGCATCCTTTTGTCAATCACCTGATAAAACTTCTGTAGGTCGTATTTTTACAGTCAGCTAATAGAGAATAAGTGGATGATATCTCTCATGTCTTCATGAAATATTTAAAACACTCTCTCTGAGTATTCTGCTGTCGGTTCATAGCCTTATGGTGGATCTGATATTTGGACTTCTGATTAGATGATTGGCTACGTACGGTGCGACAGAGGTTCAACATACATAGGCTATATCATAGCATCGCCATATTTGAGCAACTGCAGTTGCAGGGCCAGAGTGAGCGGTGCAGTGACATATGTGAAGCGAAGAATCCGCGACTCACCTGTGTAGGTCAGAGGTGAAGACTCCCGCTCGGGTCCCTTGGATAGTACGGCACACTTTCCAAAATCGGGCACGTCGAACGTTGGATATTCATACACACTCTCCGAGTACTTCTCCAACTCCTTGGTAAGGTTCGAGCGAGGTGTCACGGGTGACACGTTAGTCCTCTCACCATAGCCTGGGATGTCCAGTTGCTTAACATAGCACATGGGCCTGTGATTGGAGGGGGGCGGTGGAGGGGAAACAAAACAATGGTCATTCTCACAACGGCGCGAGGCGGACGAGCTCTTGCAGAACGACTGTCACGTGTGAGGCAGCTTCCCGTGATGTCTGCTGACAGCCACACCGCTCGTACATTTATTTCTCGTTTCGACGACTTCCCACGAATGCCCCCACGGGCAGTGACATGGGCCCAGAGCTGGCAGAGGGTCACGGCTCGAGTCCGGTGACCCCCCCCAACACCCGATTAATACTGCGGTGGGGTGTAACAATCACGAATGATAACACGCGCCGTTTGCTCCACTCACGGTGGTTGTTAAATGTACCCTGACGTCGTCCGTAAGAGTAGGCCTTCGTGTGCTGTGTCATGGGCACCCTACTGGCAGGCGAATGCCCCAGGTCGCTCTAGGTCGCTCTTGCAAATCAGAGTATCCTAGTCTCTCGAGTTCTCGACAAAATAAACTCATCTAAAAAGCTAAACCTCAAAGTGAGGCTCTAAACCACTCTCTATTTAGCCCCCCCCCCCACCACCTCTGCCCCCCTGTCAGTATAAATGTGTCCCACCACATTTAGTCGGTCAGCAGGTCACGTGTGGTGGGGTAAAGTGTGGGTATGCCCGTCTCTTCTAACGCGTCTGGGCACACGTGGACGGGTAGACTGGCATTCGCTTTGGCGGCGTTCGCTCGAGTCGGAGGCCCTTCCAGCAGCAGTGGAGTGAGGAAGCAAAATTGCAGGGCTGCTCCTTTAGGTGAGATTGTGTGGACCCGGGGCAACTCTTTCAGGTGAAGCACCAGAAGAGGGATGCAAACACAACAGTAATTTGACGCAATTGCAAGTCGAGAAAAACATGAGAATGTCCCACGAGTGAGCGAGGAGCGAGCCAAAGCTGTGAGAATCTCTCAAATATCCCTCCCCCCCGACTCCCCCGCCCCTCCAATTAGCACCATTGGCTACGTTTGGTGTGAATAGAAGTTCAACATACGTACGTACATGACCGTGCTAATTTTGAACGAGTGCTGCTCGGCTTGAAATGAAACTGCTGCTGTCTGCATAAGTGCCAATGGTAAGTCAAGAGTGCTGTACTGATAATTTAACTTGTTTAAAAATATCTTAGCTCACCATATTGTTCAGGACCGCATGCAACACAGGTATCCAACGTGGGTGGTGATTGTGAGATTGTCAAGCTGTAGCCTGGGAAACAATGCTGAGGGTTTATGGTTTGCGTGCGATCAAGATAATCAGTGTAAGCCACTTCGTTGAGCTATCATTTGTGGCCAGGTCGCTTCTGAAAAAGAAGCTAGTAGCTCAGTGGGCTTTACCTGGTAAAATAAAAAACATTTTTTTTGTGATTTGTTTACCATTCCTGTACGTTGCACTCCTATCGTTGTTTCTGTACTGTTTGTTGTTGTAACGTTCTGACCCGTGCAGTATAAATACACATATTTAGATTCTGACGTTAGGCAGCTGCGGTTTCAACAGGTGACGCGCCAGTCGCCTCACGCAGCATCCACGCAGAGCCTCGGCCGTGGTGGGTGAGCCCAGCCAAGTGAGTTTTGTCTTCTGCTGCCCCGTGCCACTAAATCAACGAAGATGGCCATCACACTTCTCCATTTCCTATTCATCGTTTTGGCAGTTTCCACTTGATGATGATGGTGATGACGATGGTTAAGATGTATTGCAATGCCCGATCCACAAATATAAAGGAGACACCACGGCGACCACCTGGATGTGAGATTGTAGTTGTTGCTCTGCATATACATCAGCAGCCACACGACAACAAGAAGAATACGAATAATACGACTTCTCTTGGCCAGTGTCGTCACGATGTAGCTGTCAATAGGCTACTCCACATCACTCCACATTTTTCACATGCCCGGTGACCAATGATCCACCCACAAAGTTCTCTAACGCTTGCATGTCATGCAGGGCAGCGTAGAGCGGGAACATCACTTCTGCCTTGCCATCCTCTGGGGGTCTGAAGTGTCCAGTTGATTGAGCTTAAGTCAATTTAACGTTTAGAGATTTGTGCGAAATATTGCAACAGTTACGTAATAATTTAGAGCCAATCTTAAAAAAAAAAACGTCGGATGAAGACCTCCACCACGATGATTGTTTGACCATACTTCACCACGCTGGTGGAGTGCGTGTTCGTAAAGGGCGTTGGGTCAAGGACCGGTTCAGATATCAGTCGTCACGTTAACTGTGGCTGGGAATCAAGCACACTGTGCGCTAACTACATCACCACCAATCCACTTTGCTATAATATGGCCAACTCAATTTTTTCACGACCAACTCCAATAAATCATGCATCAAATGGTGCATAGTTCCATCACAAAAGGCCGGTTACAGCAATTACCCATATATAATTTTTTGCAATTAAAGATTCAAGACTAATGTGTGCCTGTTCACTAATGTGTACTATTAACTTAGAATTACTCAAGCTACAGCCAGATGTTACCTGTGCCCAATTGTGCATGATGTCACGCTTTGAAGGTCACGCTAATTAGATAATTGTGCTGCTTAAGGTGTGCGTGCTTAATTGCATCTACATTCTCATGCACTCTGCCAAGTTTACAAAATTTAATCAACTTGGGGGTGTGCGAGGAACCGTAGTCCGGTCACGACGCTCAGTGGCTCAATTGCATTAGCGCCTACTTCTTAGCTGAGCAACAACGAAAGTTAGTTGAAGGACTGAAAACTTTCCCTGCAAGAAATGTGTTGCTTTGTCAATCATTTCCTCAGAGGTATATAAGTGTTGGTAACTGTTAATCAACAATACAAGTGTAAATTTGTAAATAAAGTAATGAGTATGTAAACAAACAAACACAACATCTGCGGTAATCAATGGACTTGTTGTAACTATGAATGCAAATAAAACAACTTTAGTTAAAATATTTCACCAGGATAACACCTTGAGATGGAACACCTCATTTGTGAGGGTGTCTCGAGCGTCAATTAACACACACAGAGGAAATATCGCGTAAATAGTAAACACAAATCTGGATTTATATGGCATCTAAATGCAAACTGTGCCTTATGATACAAAGCAGTGAGACGTGCACGTAGGGGGAAAAACTGCGGGGTAAATATCTAAAGTTTTATATATATACACACATACCCTGTATAAACGTCGATTAATCAATTTGAGTGAGGTAGACAGGCAAGGGCAGAGGCGAAAGGGAACGCTCTTAAGTCTGGTGGATGGGAGGCAGTGCCCCAGAGCCAGTCGGAGCGGCAGAGGGAGGGACACGTTGTTTGTAAAATCCGTGAGGCAAACCCGGCAAATGCGACGAGCGTTACCTGAGGACGCGGTCGGACCGCGGGCTGGATTTGAGGCCCTCGCTGCTGGGCTGCTGCTTCACGTGGTGGGTTTTGGCGAGTTTTTCTGCAGCTGCAATGGGGCACCCCGACAGGCTAGAGTGCGGAAGCCAGGATAGACAAAGGCAAGATGGAAAAAGAAAGAGAATGGTTACAAAGATTGTTGAAAAATATATAAAAAATTCTCTCGACTAAAGACGTATCTGTTTGCAATGGCTGCCTCTCTCTCTCTCGTTATTTTTAAACGTCTTTCTCACTTCTTGTTCTTTCCTTGGTTGATGCTAAACTATTTCCGCCTTTCCATGCATAGCGGCCTGAGAACGATTGTTTAAGGGAGCGCTTTATAAATTAAAATTATTATTATTATAAAAGATCAGGACCATCAAGAGGCATCAATCTACCATGTCCTTACCTCAGGTCAGCTCGTGCCTCACCCTGGCACTAATGCAGTGAGAAAAAGATGAGGAATTGTGTACATCTACATTCATTTTGAAGCCAGCAGGGATCATTGCTATGCAATTTGATATATCATTTTCTGAAAATAAGTATATGGATATAGGAAAACACAAAAAAGGCACTTGTCTGACAAAATGTGTTTATATATGTGAAAGTAGTTTCTTAAAAATCTTCTCGGAAAAAACGGGATTTACATAGATATTTAATTGAAGAAAATAATAAGTGTTAAACTGAAGAATGTTTCTATACAGAGGTTTTATATATACACATGGTTTTTTCCAAAGTCATTGACCCTACACCACCTGACAAGATAGTCACGTTGACAAAGACATTTATACGTGGACAATGTACTGATCAAATTCTAATCGATACAGCTCACAGGTGGATGAAGCTCACAGGACTTCTTCGAAGACAAAAACCATTGATATAACTAACACATTAAAAGTAGCCCATTGCAGTAGCAAGTCCCGTTGAAGTACAGTGACATGGATCTCCTCGAAGTTGTTTGAGACAATTCGAAGTTGCTTGAGATCATTCACGTATGAAAAAGTATCCATGCCAGAATGACAAAGGAGAGGGAGTGACCCCCCACGTAGCGACAGTTGGTGACGTCAGGGAAGATTCTCAAGCACCGACGAAGCTCAAAGCTGTTGGGAGAGAGAGAAACCTCGCCGTTCATTGGTGTTCATTTTATTCAGTCTTAAGTCTTAAAGCCTCCAGCGAGGAGGAGCTTTATCGGCCACAGTCTCATCATCAACACACTGGCCACGAATACTTAATACATCTGTAAACGTGACAATCTTGTCGGGTGGTTGAGGGTTCATGACAAGGATATGTCGGCATAAAGTCACCACCACCACGTGGCAAAACAAATCTCGACAAATATAAATATACTTCAATTATGCTTTAACCTCACTTTTTGTTAATCAAACAAATTTAATACTGTGACATTCGTATGACAAGCGACAGGAAAGATTAATTCATTTAATGATATCTGCTATCAAAGGTCATTCATCAAATTGTCTTTAATTAAAATTAAATATGGACACATTCCATTTAAATTGTTAATGGAGTATTTCACTTTTAATGTTGGTAAAATTTGCACAATAATGATGCTTATGTAAGATACCGTATGCATAATACGTTCCTTTGTTTTGTCCAAAGTTTACTAATTAAAACATGAATCTCATCTCCTCTGCTTCATGGTGGGTGCATTGTGTAACCCTAAATGCGGGGGAATCAAACCTCTAAACTTACCAGCTACAGATGTGATTCATGAGGCAAAGCTCACAGTATCCTTGCTACACTGATAAATGATGGCGTTTTTTCCGAAAAAACTTTTCATTATTCGCATGGTTCGTAGAATTCCTCTCATTAGCAATCACCTTTCAATTAATTCTGCATTTCTGCACTTGCCGAACGGGCTCAGAATTCTTCTTGTTGTCTGCCAATCTCCAACGCAGTGGAACCTATGACGATAATATTCCCGTTGCGTTGGCAAAGGGGAAACCTCCGATTCCGTAGCACGTTGTGCCGCACGTATCACGAGGGCAGCTCGAGTGTGGCCCCACTCTCCAAGTGTCACAAGGAAAACACTAAACACGATCTCTGTTCCATGTTATAGCTATTGACTTTAAATCCAGTCACACAAAAAGGGGTAGGTTGAGTTTGAACCGAATTCACACACTCCTGAATTTAGCAAACAAACTTTTATGAGCGTGCAGGTAAGCACGTATGTGTGTTGAACTTCTTTCGCACCGCAAATAGCCAACCGTGCTAATCGGAGGTGCGGGGAGTACACATGCATCTGCCAATAAACTGCTGTTAACCGGTGTTCTAAACTATGCTGTGAATGAGCTAAATGAACCCTGCCATGAAAACTTCGAACCGGACAGTCGTGAGAAAAAATGCTAATGAAAGCAAGCCAAATGTTACGGCTGGCTGATACACACAAGCAGAGCTGCGTTTTGTGTTTAGTTTGTTGTCCTTCCCCCGCACCTCCGATTAGGACGGTTGGCTACGTACGGTGCGAGAGAAGTTCACCATCCGTACGCACAAACATAATGTGAGTTGGCCAGACACCTGAGGGGTCAGATCGCTCAACTGGAACTGCTGAGATCCTCGATTCTAATCCAGACAGCCATCCATGGTTAAACGCGAGTCTCAAATGGAGTGAGTTGATAGTGTTAGCCCTGTGATCAATACCCCAATAAAATATAGGGTTTTAGAAAAAAAAAACTTTTTGGCTAAATTCCAGCAATGAGAATTTAAAAACGTCAAATCCATTGCCACGCAACATCAAACATTTCTGCGACGCACGAGTGTTGGGGAGGGGAGAGGGGGGGAAATGTGTGTGCCTGCTAGTGTCTGGATAAATAGAGGTCAAATTTCGATTTAAAGCTTTCGTGACTGCAGGGATTCATCTTCTCGGTTCTTTCGGTAAAGTCACGTAGAAGGGAAGTAATAAAATAATAAAAATAAAACATAATAAAATAATTCTCACGTAGTTTCGGCCACAATGCAAGCAGCCGTCCTCAGGCAAGCAGCCGTCCTCAGGTGAGGACGGCTGCTTGCGTTGTGGCCGAAACGTCGTGAGAATTATTTTATTATGTTTTATTTTTATTATTTTATTACTTCCCTTCTACGTGACTTTACCGAAAGAACCAAGAAGAAGAAATAGAGGTCACTTGAAGCATCTCAGGAGCGTGTCGACGACACCGCGAGCCCTGCTCTGTGAGACCCACCGCGTCCCCTCGTCCTCGTGATGCCAACGGCGCAATTGGAATACGATTGCGAAAAGGACGGCACATTATGTCCTCCGCTACAACGCTTTAACATTGCGGCAATTGCATTGTTATTATTACCCAGGATATGTCGCTATTTCATGGGCGCATATTAAAAAATATAGATTAATATACTAATTATATCGCGGGACTTCAACATCAGTGACGAGTGACATCTGAACAGGTCATGGACACCCCTCATTTCTTTACGAACCCGCAATGACCAGCGTGGTGAAGTATGGTCAAACACCCCTCGTGATCAACACAGCATGGGGAGGCCTTTATCCAGCAGTAGCTTGACAAATAAAGCTAAAAATTTATTCAATACATTTCCCACTAAACTTAGTTTTAGTAGTATCACGAATGTGCTCTCTGCTTAAAGAAGCCTTCTTTATAGAGATATAAATGGGACCATAAGTTACGATATTCATACAGAGCATTCATCAACCCCTACTGCGATAACTTGGATGCTCCTGCTAAAGTGTTATGAGAATCGGTGAGGCTTTCGTGGGTAAACTGTTGAAGTCATGACAATAAGAGCATCCAGCACACACAGCATGCCTGAATGTCTAACTAATTTAAACTGATTATACGCCCAGACAACCTTAACCCAGTCAATATCGACCTTGAGGTAGAATTCGGAGCGATAGGTTCTTGAACTCACTATCACAATGAGCGATTATCACCAGGTCATCGGAACACATAACAGGGTAAACCGCCCCAAGACAGCAAGTGGTAATTAATCAGCATCTAATTGCATCTGTACCCCATCTGTACCTCACGAAACTATTTGGGCAAAGGTGATGCTAAATAGTACAGGAAACAAATACATTCCAGCTATATGCCTGGACAGATAGAGACCATATTCTTAGGTTTTTTTCGGTAAAGTCACGTAGGTAAAAAATTAAAATTAATAAAAGTAAAATAAAAATAAAAAAAATAGATAGAGACCAACAAAACAATATCATCTTCAAAAATGTTTACCCAAGTAAAGCATCAGGCAATCTCAAAACATTATCAGTCGTCTTGCTCGATATGTTTGGCCAGTTCCTCTTGGGGTATCTATTTCATTCGTAACCTCTGGGGGTACACCGACATCACGTGACTTCAACTACTCGCAGCTTTCAATCTGACTGCACAAACTCGCATCGCAGTTTAAGTGAATCGCGCAATATATCCAAACGCTTTCGCGAACATTATTATTCATAATAGAGTGTTTTTTTTTTGGCTTAGATCGCTTATGTGTAAATGTGTCATTAGCCCGCTACCACCCGACACGGCCAAATGGTGAGGTTTCTCCCGAGGCACGTTTAGTTTACGTAATTGGTCGTGTCGGGTGGTGGTGGGTGAACGACACATTAATACTTACGCGATCTAACCCCCAAAAATACCTCTCTAATGACTTCAAACGCATTACATGCGACGTCCAATTAATGTTCGTAGTTGTCCGAATAAATTTCGCACTGCTCAGGACAAAGAGTACCTTACAATGGTGTAGCACCCACCCAAAAGATATGATTGGGTCCATGTAGTTCACGCCCACTATCCAAAGCCATTCCCAGATTAACCTTTCACAGCACTGAAAAAAAAATAGAGAAATGATACTCTGTTACTAATTGCTCTTGGTACTTGTGATACTCTTGGTACTCTTGGTACTTGCCCCTTGCTCTTAGTACAGCGGTATCAGCGACGCACACGGGAGAGAAAACTTAATTTGGAGCTTTCGTGACTGCAGGAATTATTCTTTGGTTCTTTCGGTAAAGTCACGTATAAAGATAAAATAATAAATTAAATTAAATACTAGCATACGACGTTTCGATTGCAACACAAGCAATCATCATCATGTATAAATTAAAT